ATAATGAGATTATCATGAAGCATTGAAACTAAATAATAGAGATTTCTGTACCTTTGTGATTTAGTGCCCCCAGTTAAAGATTTTAATTAACATTTATACCATAACGTTGAGTGTGCATTTGTTATGTTAGCATTACTTAAAGGTGGGGTAGGTAAGTTTGAGAAACCGGCTCGAGATACACTTTTTGTTATATTCCGTGGAATGCTCTTAACATCCCGATAGCAATGAATATCTTAAGTGCTTTGACAAAAAATCCATTAAAAAATGTCATCTGTGGAAGCCGTAATACTGTAAAAAGCACGACCAATAATTTTAGCCGGCCCGGCTAAAATAACTGGATGGCCTACCTGCCTGTCAGCCTTCCATCTGTGCACAAACTTATCTCGTGCCCTCATTGGTCATGTGCGCGTTCGTGTGTGTTGGAGGAGGGGCTCTGTTAGGAAGTGGCAGATTTTTTCCGGGTGTGTATTTTCAAATTCTAGCGATCTCGAGCCGGTTTCTCCAAAATTACCTACCCCACCTTTAAGATAAAAACTAGCAGGTCGACAACTTTGTTAACAAAGCCAAACATCAATAATCAGAAACAGAAGTCCTTAACTGTCCAACGGCAGGAACATTTACAATGTTACAGCAAGCCCAGTCCCAAAGCAAGAGTACACTACACAATAAATAGAAGGCCGGCTAATCAGCTAATCTGGCTATTGACCCCGCCCACCTGGCTTATGTCCTGTAGTTCAGGCTGTGTTGATGCCGTTACTTTTTAATGGGAAATTACCCAAAGTGAAGAAAACAAGAAAAACAAAGAGCTTTGGATCTTGGAAATACTGGAAGCCTAGTTTTAAGCCCTTGACTATAAGGAATATATACACATGTGTGAAATGAACTTGCTCACTCCATATAACTGGCTGCAATCTAATTACGAGAATGCACTCAAAGTATAGATATAAATATAACAACAAAAAAACGTACAGGTAATGCCATCTCAAGGGCTATGAACAAAGGATGGCACAGGATTAGCATGTATCAGCTTCACTGGAGCACACATGCCATTTTAGAATCACTAAAACTATCTTCCTGTCACGTAAGAGCTAGAATTCAAAGCTTAAAAACACACCAAATGGTTGGCGAAACCATAACAGAGGGTCTCTATCTTCCTTGACAATGATGACATGCTGTATTCCAGCCAATCGTGACTTGCAAAAAGTATTCTGATGAGGTGACGCCATAGATGTTGCCAATGTGAAACATCCATTCATGCTGCTCAGAGAACCTCAGAGAACTCAATGTTATTACAGTTGTTGTTCGGCATAGGTGGAGCTTGTTTTTACTGCTTCAAGCTTTGTTTTGCAATCCATTGTTTTTAAGGTAAACTGGTAATTGTTACATGTGTATAGAGGATTTAAGGACATGTTTGTTGAATACGTATCTCTGTAATGGATTGGTTGGAAAGAGTTCAGATAACAAAGTGTAACCCAAGGGCATTACTGGAGACAATGTAGCCTACTGTGCGAATATGCCTAGCAGCCCCTCTAAAGCTCATGAGTGTTAATGCTAATTATAAAGCAATTAAGCTTATTTTCTCTAAAATGTTAAACTATTGTTGTTTAAAAATGTTAATCTTCCTGAATGTTTTCCAAATCGCACATAAATTGATTGAGATTAATTTGATTTTTCTTTAGATCCGTTCTATCCTCGCAAGAAAATCACCTACAACAAGCACAGGCTCCAATACAACAAGAGTAAGTCATTTTAAAGAGTATGCAGTTTTTCTTGTTCATAATGTTTCTACCCATTAAATAACAAAGACATCCTGCAATCACCTATTTATACCATATAACATTTGTTTTCTACTTTAGAGTACATGTGGTGGCATTTCCTCCACTGGACTGAACTGGTTCCATCGACTGCGTGGAAGAAGAAGCAAGTTTCTATTTTAAATTGAGCAGTTATTTTCATTTACTGAGATACATTTTCCCTAATAACAATTTGTTATTTGTCTTTCAGACGTCTACCGTGTGGCAGAGGCTGCAAACTCGGGCAGTGCTGGTGCGTCGGAGTCATTCTCCAATATCTAAATCAATACATTGAACCGTACACTTTATTTCTTTAGGGCTATTTATTCAAAAGATCTGACAGTTATTGTAGGATTTTCAGCACATAATCAGAAACGATGCAGTTTACTGGGACGATATTGTAAGAGATGGTGCAACAGACAAGGTTAGTTTTGAAATTAGAATAGTTTAGGTCCTACAGGCAGCATTAAAATAAGTTTGCATTGTAAAGGTACTGTTCTGTTATTCAAAGCCCTAAGAAAGCAATTGTGACACAACATTGTGAATGAAACTTTGAAATTACATTTTATTTTGAAGTGTGAAATGTAGTGGACCTATCATGCAAAATGCACTTTTGTACGTCTTTTATACATGAATATGTGTCCCCGGTGTTCCAGGGAACTCACCAAGTGTCAGAAAACACAACCCTCTCTATTTTCCTCCATACCCAAATCTCTAAAAAAGAGGCTGCAACGGATCTGATAAAAACTGATCCAGATTTGAACACTGTCCTGACGTCAGGACGGTGGCGCTACGGCTATTGGGCCAACTCCACCAATCAGGAGGAGACAGCCACGGCCATTGCCGTTCGAAAGCGCTGGAGACGCTGTAGTACATATGCCAGGCCTGTAGATGGTGCTGTTCTCACAGAATCTGCCCTTGCTAAAACAGAGCTAAAAATTGTCAAATTGAGCAAAATGAGGCATGGCTAAAATGAATGATCTGTTCGGTATTTTGAAAAAAAAAAAGTATAAATATGCCTTATATAGGTATGGTCCTGCACTATATTATTCAAATATAGCATGATAGGTCCACTTTAATGTACAGTCGTAGTGAATCAAAACACTTCATAGACATGTTTTGTATCGATATGGCCCAATAATATATTGTTCAAATATAGCATAATAGGTTTTCAGTGTAGGTACAAACTGAGTACAAACTGGGGACAAACACTGCCGTCGTGCTTCTTCTTTAATGTGCAAAAAGGAACTCACCTTGTGATAAACCCACAAGAGAAAAAGCATTTAAGCTCCAAACTGTTCATGGGTCTGGTGGACATTTCTCAGAAATGTTATCCTCACATTCTGAAGCCTCTTCCTCTTCCTCTACATCATCATCAAATGGTTCTCTCTCTTCCAAAATCATTTGCAAGGCCCTCTCAGCAGAGAATCTTTTGGCCATCTTGATCAGTTGTGATAAGGTCCCAAACTGGCGAAGCTTTTTTTATTGTCTTTACCCAAATTTGCAGCTGGGATAGAATGTGAAAAAAATAAAGATTGGTTCCCGCAAAACATAATGCGGGAATGTGAGAGCAGACAGGTGTCGGTGCTTGAATTTATCAACAATGCTGCATCCTTGTGCGGGAATGGCAGGGGCAGGAACACAAAAGTCTCACACATACACACATACACACACACACACACACACACACACACTAACAAACACACACAAACACACACACACACACACTAACACACACACACTAACACACACACGCACACACACATACCATGTATACATCACTTCAGGGGACATTACATTGACTTACATGCATTTCCTGGAGACTTATCCTAACCTTAACCATAACCAACACATGCCTAACCCTAACCCTAACCCTAACCCTAACCAAGTCTTCACCCTAAAATTAATGATTCCCCTTATGGGGACCTCCATTATGTCCCCATAAGGGAGGTGAGTCCCCAAACGTGACTGTGTAACAGATGTAGGTCCCCACAAGGATGGTAATGCTAGTCCACACACACACACACACACACACACACACACAAACATACACACACACACAGAAGGTCCAGACAGGTGCACAGGACCTACAATTTCCTCACTTTTGTTAGCCCCGCCGTCGGAAAATGTTTGTCAAACCTGTATTTCAATTTCACGAAACATACCACATGTCAAAATGTGTATTTTGATTTGTTAGAAATCATTAGAGATGTGTGTTGAAAATAAAATATGTTGTCTTAAAGGGACAGTGCACCCAAAAACAAATAAACATATTTTCCCTTTTACATTTTTCCTTTCTACTGTAGTGCTATTCTTTCTGTTTTGCTTCTAATGTTTGAGAGATTTTATCTGTATAGGTGTCCGGCTTTCTTCCAATATTTTCACTTCAATTTGTGACTTTTCACAGAATTTTTACTTTTTTTGAATTTTTACTTTTCACAGAATTTTTACTTTTTCAAGGGAAATTGAATTTCTTCAGATATTTTGACTTTTTTCCAGAAATTTTGAATTTCTTCAGATATTTTTTTTTTTTCAGAAATTTGACTTTCTCAAGGAAAATTGATTTTCTTCAGAATATTCTCAGGATTTTCACTTTTTTCTCAGAATTTTTTTTTTCCAGAATTTTTACTTTATTCACAGAATTTTGAATTTCTTCAGAATTTTGGTTTATTCAAGCAACGTTGAATTTCTTCAGAAATGTTGACTTTTTTCAGAAATGTTGACTTTAAGGGACAGTGCACCCAAAAACAAATAAACATATTTTTTCTTTTACATTTCTCCTTTTAACTGTTATGCTATTCTTTCTGTTTTGCTTCCAGCTTTCTTCCAATATTTTTTTTTTTTTTAGAATTGCGACTTTTCTCAGAATTTTGACTTTTTTTCAGCATTTCTTATTCATAATTTTAAGTGAGATACTAGAGAAATGTAAAGGATCTGAATACCGTTGTAAACCACCACTCAAATATACTTCCCTCTCGTCACCTCTCGTCATGCTGCGATTCTGCCAGCAGGTGGCGTCCTGCAGAGCATCAACCTTTGTTATAGGAAGGAGCTCCATTTATCCAGTGTATGGGAAGGAGTGTGTGAGCATATGTTTGCAGCTCCTCTCGTTATATTCCACACTGAGCACTTGGTCGGTATCTACATATTTTTCAGGCTGCAGATCTTTGTGTCGCAGAGTCCTGAAAAAGCAGCATTTTTTTTTAACAATATGGAAAAGGAGAGAAGATCCTCAAAGCAGTACGGCTCTTTGGAGAAGACGCAGGTGGAGGGAGCAACGCAGAAATCAAGTAAGTTATAATTAGAAGTCATTTAGTGTTTACATTTCACTGGATGCGTGCTTTCATTATGTTGCTGTTTTAAGTCATTAGCAAAAGAAGCGATGTGTGCATGGCCCCAACTTTCTGCAGATATTACAGTATAATTAAAGCATCAGGTCGCTATGGAAACACATTTACACAACCAATAAAATAATAAAAATTAACTTTGCAATGAAAGAAAGATCCTGTAAGACATTATAGTGACAACATTTATAGAAATAATGACTCAGTTTGTAGCGTAGAACAAACAACCAGTAAAAGTATTTGCATTTAATTGTTATCAAAGTTATTTTTGGAATAAATTGGAAAATTAACAACCTCTGGAATGACCAAATTGACCAATCAGAATGGAGCTTTCAACTAATATAACAATAAATCATATACAAATAAAAACGTATATATATCTTATCTATATTGATGCTAAGACTTCTATACTTACCTTGAATTTAAATGCAATACTTTTACTTGTAACAAAGTATTTCAACACTGTGGTATCACTACTTATACTTGAGTGTGTGTGTTTGTGTGTGTGTGCATGGATGTGATAATACACATGAATGAAGTTGTGGATTCAGCAGATATGTGTGTGTGTGTGTTTGGGGAGTGTGTGTGTGTAGATGATCCCCGGTGATCCAGTGCGATTGTCTTTTCACACGAGGTCTGGTAATTAAAAGCTGATCCGACCGAGACTCATGGTGAGGAGGAGGGGCAGAGCAGCTATTTTACTAAATTTGATTTAATTTGATTTAGTGATGCTTGAGGAATTAGTGGGAGGAAGTACACAGAAGTTTGGTCAGAGCGGGATGGTGAATTGGTTCCAGGGAAGATTTAAAGGTGCCTTGGGGTTTTTTCCTTTCCTGTAGTGTGTTATATAGGTTTTAGTGCTTGTAAATGTTCTGTAAAGGCAAACATCCCTGTGACTGGGCTCTGGTTTCAGACAGAGGGTGAAAAGAGGTGCTGCAGCACAGGCAGTATGGGAAAAATAAAGAGCTTTTTGAACATTAAAGCATGGAAACATGTCCCAGTAGAGACAATAAATAGTAACATGAACCTGAAAATAAGCATAAAAGAGCCACTTACTTCACCTGAAATGTCCAAATGCCTTTTTTAGGGTCTACTGTCCACCATGTTTTCTTTTAAATTGTCACAATACAGTAGTTTACAGTAGTTGCTTCACATTGATGTTGTGTCAATGGTTTGATGATAATAGTTGAATTATTTGAATATGTGTATCTCTACTTATCCCGTTATCAGACCCAGAAAAATGTGTTTTGTTGTTGTTTGTTTTCCAGCAGAGGATGTTGTTTCCATGGCGGACTCCACGATTACGATTGAGGACATCGAAGGAGAGCTGAGTAAAATTGAGCGGATAAGAGACATTTTGGTACGGAGGGAATCGGAGCTGAGATACATGTAAGAATTGCACATTTAAAATAAGAGAGACACAAACCAACACATGCCTAACCCTAACCCTAACCCTTAACCTTACCCTTACCCTAACCCTAAACCTAACCAAGTCTTCACCCTAAAATTAATGATTCCCCTCATGGGGACCTCCATTTTGTCTCATGGGGACTGTGTAAACAGATTTAGGTCCCCACAAGTATAGTAATGCTAGGCCACACAACACACACATGCACATACACACACACACACACACACACACACACACACACACACACACACACACACACACACACACACACACACACACACACACACACACACACACACACACACACACACACACACACACACACACACACACACACACACACACACACACACACACACACACACACACACACACACCAGAGAGAGACATACCCACATGTTCTTTCCAGATCTCAAAGGATGCCCATTTCTCTGTTATCTCTCTTATCCTGTCTTTTAATTATTTCAATTTTTTTCTGTCAATGCCGTCCTCAGCGACCAGCTCTGCATAATGCGGCTATAAGATGAATCAGGGAAAGAGATAATAATGGCTTCTGGTTTTATTTTTGCTGCCTCCAGTCTTTAATGTTACTGGTCTTTTAAGTTTAGCCTTTCAGTTTCACACATCATGTTTTCACTTTTATCCATAATCCTCTGCATCCAGAGGCTAACAAAGGGATGCACAACATCACTATCAATCATGTTGTTTTCCTGCATGTTGTGAAATGTATTGTATCAAGTGAAACAAATACAATAACTGAAGCTCAACCATTGTGGGGAGAGTTGGTAGATGAAAGAAGAGGACATAGTAATGAAAATAATTAACAGCCAACTCCTTTATGTGTCTTTTAGTACAACCGAATGCTGGACATAAACATTTAGGCAATCAAAATGTTGCAGACCCTGATATATCACCTATTTTACACTGAATGGGGCAATATTTTTACAAAGAAGACTTCGAACTAGCGATTGAGACCATAAACTTTTACATTTACATTAATGTCAATCAATGTGCACTGTCCCTGTCAAATAAATAAATAAATAAATAAATAAAAATAGATGTAAGGCACTGCCACATGGCTTCACTTTGTCAGACCTTTATGTTGCCTCTGATTGGATTTATGTTTATATTTTCCACTTTTTTTAGGATTATTAATGTCTTTCTTTTGATTGGTCAGTCCCTTCTTATATTCTTTGGTATGTCCACCATGTTTGTCAAGACTGGAGAGTTTTTTAGACAGATAATTGATACTGACTTTCATCTTAATCATTACTAATTAACAAATGCTAGCCAGGCCCATGAGCAGGTTAGCATTGCAACAGAGCTGCTCGCATGGCCGTTGATTTGTGATTTTCTACTAAAATCCCACTTTTGCCAGTCAATGCAGTTCCATATCTTACACTCACTGTGACACAAAGAAGACTCTCATGCAGGAACATTTTAAATAAACTCTCCAAACTGGCAGCACTTTGCTCATCCTGAAATATATAATACCCTCTGCTGAAGGACACTGAAGTGAACCCTATTTTTGTTATTGACCAAGAGCTGAGAGTCCATTTTTCAATCACAGTCATTTCCCTGTTTATGCCATCACTATAATAACAGCTCACATACACATAGACTCAAACACACACACACACACACACACACACACACACACACACACACACACACACACACACACACACACACACACACACACACACACACACACACACACACACACACACACACACACACACACACACACACACACACACACACACACACACACACACACACACACACACACACACACACAAACACTGGTGTGACAGCTCCTGATGTTTGATGGTGAATTGAGATCAGATACTGTCAGCTGAGACACAGAGGGCAGCGTGGCCGTGTTTTTCCAGCTAATAATCTCACGGACATCGCTGTCAGTGTGTTTCTGTTTAAGTCAATTTCACACTTATGTTTGTATGGGAAGGAAATTGCTTTGCTGCCATGATACAATATCCATGTTGTGTTTTTAAAGAAGAGGCACAGATATAGCCTGTTTTCCTGCAAAATATTTGTTTGTTTGTCTGTTTTCCACTCAGGATGGACGACATTCAGCTTTGCAAAGAAATCACGACGCTGAAGACAGAGCTGCAGAAACTTGTCTCAATTCCAGGTAAATGAAAAACGAGTCACTCTCAGGAAATGTCGATTTTAGTTATTATTTGCCGTGTTATCATTGAAGAGATGCCAGCGAAACCGTAGCTATGCCTTTTTCTGACCAGCAGTTACCTTAGAGACAAAGACTGGAGGGATTTCAACACACTTTCTGTACAAGCTGAATACAAATAAAACGTTTCACATCCAATTACCTCGCCTGAAACACAGACAACGATCCTCTCAAGGCTTTCCCATTTTCCACTTGAGCTTTGGTTATATAATGTCTACTCTCTGAATGAACTCAAATACTCATATTCCACATTAATATTCATTAAGATTTGGATGACAGCTCTAGTGCAGTATAGTGTAGAACAGTGATGTGCGGTGAGGTTCATGGCTGGTGAGGCACTGACTCTTTCAGAGTCAGATTACAAATATTATATTTTGACCTTAATCGAAATATTCTGTTATTTTCAAACGCTTTTTTAGTCTGATGCTTCGATTAATTTTAAACAGACCGATCAACAAAAGGATACCCACAATCTAAATATTGGATTGTTCTCTCTTAGTAAGATCCCATTTTCATTACAATTGTGGTCTTACATTGACGATGAAGTCCATGCTATCCTTCTGGACAACAATCTCTATTACTTTTTTGTAAAAGTCCTCCTTATCTTCCTGTAGTTTCAAAAGTCTAGTCTGTTGTTTGCATCTACCGTGTCTGCGTAGAATAACAGTAGCAACAAGAACCTGTGGGCTCACGTATGCCCCCTTCAGTGCGGCAGAGGTTATGGCTGCCTCTCCTGGTGCTTTCTCATTGCCGTTGTATGATGAGACCAGCGGGCCTAAATATCATATATACGTGAAATAAGTTATTTAGAGACTATGGATGGCGAGGACACATGTAATAAAGGGATCTACAAACATTACATTGGTGACCTACAGTGAGATGGTAACAGGCATGCGCTTAGTGCCTGCGGTCCAGCCAGTTTCTGTGGGGTGACGCATCTGAGATGAGGCAGAGCTCATCTGTGCCTCACCTTACCCCACAGTAACTGGCTTGGAGCGCGGGCACAAAATAAGTGCCTGCGCTAAATTAGTGCCCGCGCTCCAGCCAGTTACTGTGGGGTTACGGGAGGCAGAGCTCATCCCTGCCTCACTTCTCATCGCTCCCATGTAGTTGTAGCGGAGCTCGGTAAATTTGCCGATTTTGACTATAAAAAGCGATTGGAATCATACAGAAATCACATTTACAACACAGATCAGTGGAGACATTTTATTATTATTTTTCTTTAGTTTTTTCCCCGTTACATTGGAGTATGACAGGAGAGGCTCTGCCTCCCCTGCCTCCCCGGACTGCACGTCGCTGGTGTAGAAGATGGTTGTGCTTTCAATAAAAATGTTGCTAAAGAGGCGTACGAAACTGATTAGGAGGCTAACTTTAGAACTGTCTTTCATTGCCATGCTAGCTAGCTCAACTTTACCTTTTTTCCCTGCTAAGTAGCAATTATAAGCATGCTTTTCCAAAAACAAGTATTTGAAATATGAAAAGTGTCTATTTGGACTGCCTCTTAGTGTATATGCTACATTCATTCTCCTAAAGTGTTTGTATTTGATATAAAATGGCAAAGAATAGAAGAAAGAAAGTGACTAGCTTGCAGTTGGATGTTAACATCGAGTTAGCATAAGTGGCTAGCTCAAGCTGCGGTCCTATTTGTTAATAGGACTCATCTAAGACATCTTTATTCGTTTTGTGATGAATTGAAAATGGGAACAATCTGAAGGAAAGGTTAAAGGGAAAAATATTCATTTAAAGCATGAAGAACAAAAGATGTCCGATAGCCTATTAGGGCATTCTAGGTTAATAATATAAATATAAGAATAATAATATATATAATATCTGTTAGTTCAACTTTAGGCTAAAACTAGAGAATGCAATTCCTGAAGAAATTGCTAGAGGGAATGCTTTATGCTGGAAAGCTGACGCTAAACTGCTATGCTGAAATGTAATGTGTAAGAAGAAAGTGAACAATTTAGATTGAAATGATACATGAACACTGGGGACTTGAATGTGTGATAAGAGAAGAAAAGAAAGTAAAAAGGCTTGGAAAAGCAGCAGAATATTTGAACTGCAAACTTTTGAACTGACTTGATGGCTAATGATCTGTCGCCATGGCAACGGCATTTGATTACACCCCATAATACGCTTAGATATGTTGATGGCTGCATCGTTACCAAACCTGTGAAGTTTTGGGCCGTTTGGAGCATTTTCACTGAAGTTATGAGAAAACCGTGTTTCATGGCGAGCATTGTGTTGCCATGGCAACGGCATTTGAAGAAATCTCAAAACTGTCCCGTAGATGTGTTCAAGGCTGGACTGTTAGCACACATGTGAAGTTTGAGCACTTTTTGAACATTTTCATAGGCGTTACGACAACATCGTGTTTTTTGGCAAGGGATGCGTTTCCATGAAAACAGCCTATGGTGAGATCTCAGATTTGGCGTAGAGCTGTTGAGGCATGGACCGGTGATATACAAGCGAAGTTTGGGGGACGATCGGACCGTGTCCATTGGAGTTACAGCGACATCGTGTTTTATGGCGAGGGATGCGTTTCCATGGAAACGGCATATGATGACAACCCATAATTGACATAGAGCTGTTGAAGGCCGGACCATTAACCATTATCTGAAGTCTGCTGCTGTTTTATGGTGAGGGATGCGTTGCCATAGTAACACCACATTACGTAACATCAGATTTGATGTAGAGCTGTGTTAACCATTTTCTGAAGTCTGCTGCTCTGAGCATGTCAGTTGGAGTTATGACATCATCGTGTTCCGTGACACAGGTGTTTATATTTGAGCTAACGACATGTCCAGAGATCAAAGGTTTCCATGGTGACGTGCAGTAATCAGTGAGAGGAGCGCATTTGCATTGTTCTGAATGAGAGATAAACCTCTTACATGTGAACGTTTTGTTGAAGAACCGTAACAGATATCGGTGAAATTTCAAAGCATGAAGCATCTGAAGAACCCTGAGCATCTGAAGTGTGCTTTTTGTGTACTTTCGGGTCAATAATGTGGCCTTTTTGGCAGATGAACTAAAGGCTGCTGCTGTGAGGAAAGATGAGCCTGAATTTACAATGGGCTTTAATGGAGAAATGTTGAAAGTTTTTGTCACTTCATGCCCTCAAGAGACATTTTGTTTAATTGTTTTGCTTAATATTTTTTGATTTTTCAAGCTACGAGATGTTTTCCTACGTTTCTCATGAAAAATGATGTCTCAGGAATGTAGGGTTTGGGAATTATGGCAGGTTTAAAAATAAATATGAAGGCGAATTTCAATCTGTCCTCCACTCTAGCTGTGACATCACGCACTCTAAATCTGAAGAAGGCCTCTTTACCAAGGTCTGAACAATGTTTAATATCTCTACAAGTACGAATCAGATTTAAAAGTTGTGTAACACGAATAATGTCAGAAAGATGTGTAACATTTTAAAGTTGGAATGAGGTTTCTGGGTGAAAGTATGAAGGAGCAGTTAGCAGTTGAAGTTGCATGAAGATTGTTCAAGTCTGAATAGTTTCTCCATTGACTTCAATGTTAAAAATGTGATGAATTATGGGATGTATCTCTGGAATTATGAAAGTTATGAATAAGAAAAGTAATAGCCATTGATTCCCGACCGAGCTGAACGTTTTGATGTTTGAACAGAGTTTCTGCGATGTGGAATGTGGGAGAAGAAGAGGCGCAAAATAACGGCGCAATAATAAAGAATTGTGTGCGTCGAAGAACAAGTAGTTGGAATGCTGTATCAGCACTAAATCACACTTAGTTGACCCTCACCGCTTAAGAAAGATAGAAACATTAGCCTCTTTTAGCTTAGCGGTGGTGATGTGAAGTCATGTGACCGTGCTGTAGTTCCTTTATATCCTAACATTAGATTTTTACCTTCTTACAAGACGTTAACATAATAGCTGTAAGCTGTCTGCTAAACATCAACAAGTTAGCATGGTCAGTCACTGTGTTTCACAATAATGCTAGCTTGCAGAGGTTAGCATCTAGCTGCAAACACAGCCTCGTAGAGCCACTTTAATGAGGCAAGCTACCAGTGCTCCTATGGAAATTAGCTTGTTCAATTATTTGCAATTAATCAGTTTTACATGTGAAATTACGTTATACACACACCATTAATAAACATAATAAATAGAGTATTACATTTTCTGTTCTGTGAAATATAGCTTTGACTGTATCAGACCAGGAATATAATTCTTAATTATGTTAACACTGGAGGCTGTATTTTATGTAAGGATTATGTGATTTTTAAACAGAAAATGACAAATCCAATGGAGACAGAAAGCGGGAAGAGGAGCTTCTGCAGCAGATCAACAAGCTGGTGGAGACCAGAGACTTCCTGGTGGACGATGTGGAGTTTGAAAGGCTGAGGTGAGGTTATTAAATCAATCGATTGGAAAAGAGACTTTGACTTAGTTATGCAGACATTACACTGCACCAGTGACGTGCGGTGAGGTTCATGGCTGGTGAGGCACTGACTCTTTCAGTCAGATTTACAAATATTATAGCCTATTTTGACCTTAATCGAAATATTCTGTTATTTTCAAAAGCTTTTTTAGTCTGATGCTATGATTAATTTTAAACAGACCGATCAACAAAAGGATACCCAAAATCTAAATATTGGATTGTTCTTTCTAAGTAAGATCCCATTTTAATTACAGTTGTGGTCTTACCTTGACTTGAAGATGAATATAAGTCCATGCTATCCTTCTGGACAACAATCTCTATTACTGTTTTGTAAAAGTCCTCCGTATCTTCCTGTAGTTTCAAAAGTTTTGTTTGTTGTTTGCGGTAGAATAACAGTAGCAACAAGAACCTGTGGGCTCACGTGCGCCCCCTTCAGTGCGGCAGAGGTTATGGCTGCCTCCCCATGTAATTGTTTCATTGCCGTTGTATGATAAGACCAGCGAGCCTAAATATGATATATACGTGAAATAAGTTATTTAGAGACTATGGATGGCGAGGATAAATGTAATAAAGGGATCTACAAACATCACATTGGTGACCTACAGTGAGATGGTAACAGGCATGCGCTTAGGGCCCGCTTACCAGCCAGTTTCTGTGGGGTGACACATTCTGAATTGAGGCAGAGCTCATCTGTGCCTCCCCTCAGAATGCGTCACCCCACAGTAAATGGCTTGAGCGCGCTCACAAAATAAGTGGCCGCGCTAAATTAGTGCCCGCGCTCCAGCAAGTTACTGTGGGCTTACGTGAGGCAGTGCTCGTGCTTGCCTCACTTCTTATCGCTCCCGTAGCGGAGCTCGGCAAATTTGCTGATTTTGACTATAAAATGCGATTGGAATCATACAGAAATCACATTTACACAAGATCAGTGGAGACATTTTATTATTATTATTATTTAGTTTTTCTTTAATTGTTTTTCCGTTACATTGGAGTATGACAGGTGAGGCTCTGCCTCCCCTGCCTCCACTGACTGCACGTCGCTGCACTGCACTCTGTTTACAAAACAATGGGTTTCTGGGAATTTTTATCAAGGCATAGGTTTGCCATTTTGAAGGATTACAACTCGCTTTTAGCATTTTGATAAGTCTGATTTTCCTCAACAACTTAAGTTCAATTTCTCTGCAACTTGTGTTTCCATATGAGAATATCCTGGACAAATACTAACTATCAAGGGTGTCCTATTTATTTCAAAAGCTTCCATAGCATTGTATGATAAGACAAGTAGGACACTCCGATTTTAATGGGATTTTACCGCTTTTTTTACTTTTTATGAACATTGTTGTACAAATGTAGGAATTTATTTTATTGAAAATTAGATTGATTTAAATAGCTTCTATGTCATGTGAGCTTACGACTCTAAATCAATGCAGAATTGTCATATGTTACTAACCAAGTAAGACACATTTCTTTTTAAAAGGATTTTAGTGTGTTTTATCTATTTTCTATTAATACTGTAGCATTTTCAATAGTTTAAAGTTTGTATTTTATTCAATAGCTTCCAGGTTATGTGACCCTTCGACTCCAGATCAATGCAGCATTGTGATTACAACATAGGACACACTTGTTTTTTATGGGATATAGTGTATTTTTCTATTTTATATAGTTATTCAAATGAAAATTAAGCAGTTTCATTATTGAAAAGTTGTGATTTTATTCAATAGCTTCCAAATTGTCTGACCTAATGATGCCAATTCAATGCCGTATTGTATTTCTATACTGGACAACTATGTCTCTACTTAGTAAAAAGTTCCCATATTCAATAACTATTAGAAAAACCAATTCATATTATTCTCATTTGGCCCATTCATTGAATTTAAAATGTTATTATTTGATCGTTGTATCACATTCACATAAATGTTAACAACAGGTCCACCGTCACTCAGATTTGTTGTTTGTGGTGCTATTGTTAGCTGCCTTCACTGATAAGCAGTTTTGAGTGACATTTGTCTCATGCTCTCAGACTGCGGAATCCTGCATTATTGACGTGTTTGTGAAAAACAAACTGGGTAGAGGATGGTGTGCTGTGGGTTCACTCCTCTCACAGTAGATCAAAATCCTTTCCTGAGGATTTGTCGGTCGTGCCCATCTCCTCGGTTTCTCACAAAATGCAGCCGAGTGACATTTACCATGATTAAGAAAATATTAGAACCACATACTTGGCAAATAAAAAACAAGGGCATATTCTCCTCCACAGGGAAAGAGAAGAGGACAGAGAAATGGCAGCCTTCCTACAGTCCAAATTTCCCAAGACATTGGCTTTAAAAGGTGAGTCTAGCCATGAGGCTGTCAGTGCAAACTCACTACTAAAAAAGTTCGTTTTTTCAGAATAAGGGCACATTATCAGTTTGTTTTTCAGAATAAGGGCAAATTATTAGTTTGTTTTTCAGAATAAGGGCACATTATCATTTCGTTTTTCAGAATAATAGCCCATTATCAGTTTGTTTTTCAGAACAAGGGCACATTACCAGTTTGTTTTTCAAAATACGAGCACATTATCGGTTTGTTTTTCAGAATAAAAGTACATTACCAGTTTGTTTTTCAGAATAAGAGCACATTATCAGTTTGTTTTTCAGAATAAAGGTACATTACCAGTTTGTTTTTCAGAATAAGGGCACATTACCAGTTTGTTTTTCAGAATAAGAGCACATTACCAGTTTGTTTTTCAGTATAAAGGTACATTATCAGTTGTTTTTCAGAATAAAGGCACATTATCAGTTTGTTATCTGAATAAAGGCTCTATATCAGTTTGTTATCTGAATAAAGGCTCTTTATCAGTTTGTTATCTGAATAAAGGCTCTATATCAGTTAGTTATCTGAATAAAGGCTCTATATCAGTTAGTTATCTGAATAAAGGCTCTATATCAGTTTGTTATCTGAATAAAGGCTCTCTATCAGTTTGTTATCTGAATAAAGGCTCTATATCAGTTTGTTATCTGAATAAAGGCTCTATATCAGTTAGTTATCTGAATAAAGGCTCTTTATCAGTTAGTTATCTGAGTAAAGGCTCTTTATCAGTTTGTTATCTGAATAAAGGCTCTATATCAGTTAGTTATCTGAATAAATGCTCTATATCAGTTAGTTATCTGAATAAAGGCTCTATATCAGTTAGTTATCTGAATAAAGGCTCTCTATCAGTTTGTTATCTGAATAAAGGCTCTATATCAGTTTGTTATCTGAATAAAGGCTCTATATCAGTTTGTTATCTGAATAAAGGCTCTATATCAGTTAGTTATCTGAATAAAGGCTCTATATCAGTTTGTTATCTGAATAAAGGCTCTATATCAGTTAGTTATCTGAATAAAGGCTCTCTATCAGTTAGTTATCTGAATAAAGGCTCTATATCAGTTTGTTATTAGAATAAAGGCTCTCTATCAGTTTGTTATCTGAATAAAGGCTCTCTATCAGTTTGTTATCTGAATAAAGGCTCTCTATCAGTTTGTTATCTGAATAAAGGCTCTCTATCAGTTTGTTATCTGAATAAAGGCTCTCTATCAGTTTGTTATCTGAATAAAGGCTCTATATCAGTTAGTTATCTGAATAAAGGCTCTATATCAGTTAGTTATCTGAATAAAGGCTCTATATCAGTTAGTTATCTGAATAAAGGCTCTCTATCAGTTAGTTATCTGAATAAAGGCTCTCTATCAGTTTGTTATCTGAATAAAGGCTCTATATCAGTTTGTTATCTGAATAAAGGATCTATATCAGTTAGTTATCTGAATAAAGGCTCTATATCAGTTAGTTATCTGAATAAAGGCTCTATGTCAGTTAGTTATCTGAATAAAGGCTCTATATCAGTTTGTTTTTCAAAATAAGGGCACATTATCAGTTTGTTTTTCATAATAAAAGTACATTATCAGTTTGTTTTTCAAAATAAGGGCACATTATCAGTTTGTTTTTCATAATAAAAGTACATTACCAGTTTGTTTTTCAGAATAAAAGTACATTACCAGTTTATTTTTCAGAATAAAGGCACATTATCAGTTTGTTTTTCAGTATAAAGGCACCTTATCAGTTTGTTTTTCAGAATAAATGTACATTACGAGTTTGTTTTTCAGAGTAAGGGCACATTATCAGTTTGTTTTTCAGAATAAATGTACATTACGAGTTTGTTTTTCAGAGTAAGGGCACATTATAAATTGTTTTTCACAATAAAGGCACATTATCTGTTGGTTTTTCAGATTAAGGTCACATTTCAGTCTGGAGAAGTATTAGTACATAATATAACTTTAAATGTAAAGGTAGAGAAACACAGTACGATGTGTCTAATCAAATACTTTACTTTCACTTCTCCTTTACTATCAGGTGTTTTGCCAGATCAGAAGGTGGCGTCCAAATCGCAGCAGACATCGCTGCCATTTTTCAATAAAACTCGAGTTACACAGCTGAAGGACTGCTGCGGCTTCACCTGCTCCATCATGTAACACTGCGTGTTCAAGACATTAATAATTTACTCTGTTAAACTGTATGTATAAAAACATAGGTTATCTAAAAAGAAATATGTTTTCTAGAGTCCAAGGTGACTTCTTCAAATGTTGTAAACACCGTCATTTCCTGGTTTCTAACATAATGTGTGTGTGTGTGTGTGTGTGTGTGTGTGTGTGTGTGTGTGTGTGTGTGTGTGTGTGTGTGTGTGTGTGTGTGTGTGTGTGTGTGTGTGTGTGTGTGTGTGTGTGTGTGTGTGTGTGTGTGTGTGTGTGTGTGTGTGTGTGTGTGTGTGTGTGTGTGTGTGTGTGTGTGTTTTGGCTAAACTTAAAAGACCAGTAACATTAAAGACTGGAGGCAGCAAAAATAAAACCAGAAGCCATTATTCTCTCTTTCCCTGATTCATCTTATAGCCGCATTATGCAGTGCTGGTCGCTGTTCTCATGTATCGAAATAATGAGGACGGCATTGACAGATATTTTTTTGAAATAATTAAAAGACAGGATAAGAGAGAGAACAGAGAAACGGGCATCCTTTGAGATCTGGAAAGAAAATATGTGTATGTCTGTGTGGCCTAGCATTACCATCCTTGTGGGGACCTAAATCTGTTTACATAATCACGTGTGGGGACTGGCTTCCCTTATGGGGACATAATGGAGGTCCCCATAAGGGGAATCATTAATTTTACGGTGAAGACTTCGTTAGGGTTAGGGTAAGGGTAAGGCATGTGTTGGTTATGGTTAAGGTTAGGATAAGTCTCCAGGAAATGCATGTAAGTCAATGTAATGTCCCCTGAAGTGATGTATACATGGTATGTATGTGTGTGTGTGTGTGTGTGTGTGTGTGTGTGTGTGTGGGTGGGTGTGTGTGTGTGTGTGTGTGTGTGTGTGTGTGTGTGTGTGTGTGTGTGTGTTTGTGTGTGTGTGTGTGTGTATGGACGCACATTTGAGCCTCCCTAGTGTTTACATGTATATGCTGTATGTCTGCCGTAAAGATTATCTGCATTTATCTTCATATGCTTGTATAAATGTAACATGAAAGATGTATATTTATAGTATATTATGTGATTCTGTGAAATACTGCATTTATATATTGCAGAGGGGAAGATGTCTGGCTAAACTGATGCTGCTTTCTGTCTAATTAAAGTAATTAGATATTAGTATGGCTGCTCATTGTGATATATTAAGATGTGAATAAGGGCAGAAACTACACCTGCTGTAGTACTGTAAGCAGAGTATTATGGGTATTATTAAGACTGATGCTTTCATCATTTCATCATCCAGGTAATTGTTGGTCCAGAAAATAGTTAAATTAGGAGGAAAATCGGAGGAGAAATGCCGTATATTGAGGTAATGTAAGAAGATCATTTTATTAGGAAAGGAAAGCAGCTGAGAGCCTTTTACTTTCATCAGATGTTGACAAAAAGGGAACATACCATAATTCAAACCAAAGTCTTGATTGCCTGATTCATATGTAGCCGTTAAGTATAATGCCTTACAGTCTGCTTTCTTAAAATATTTTATCATCAAAATAATGCAACTTTATTTATATTTGTATTATTTTGATGTAAATGTTTTGTCATCTTTGCAATGCTGCTTCAATAAAGGCTTTTATTGCTGCTCCATTTTTAGGGTACACAGATTTTTTGTCTGAAACTACCGTCTTGAACATGTTTCTATAGTGATTTTACGTTTATGTTAATTGTATGTTTCCCATATCATGTGTTAATATTCGTCCTTGTGGATGTTGTAAATGCAGCTGCTGTGCATATATCATCATATCTATTCTATAGACACAGGTGGAAAGCAGGACTTAAATATCGACCAGCATCCTGTGTCACTGCCATGACAACGGGTGTGTGTGTGTGTGTGTGTGTGTGTGTGTGTGTGTGTGTGTGTGTGTGTGTGTGTGTGTGTGTGTGTGTGTGTGTGTGTGTGTGTGTGTGTGTGTGTGTGTGTGTGTGTGTGTGTGTGTGTGTGTGCGAGTGTGTGTGTGTTTTGGGATGTTTTGATTGTTCATTGTGGTGAGGAGAAAACCAGATGGTTTCAGTTCCACACAACTTACCTCAGCTGCCTGCCATCACCTCACACACACACCACACACACACACACACACACAAAACAGTGCAGACTGCAGCCACAGATGACTCATACAGGAGAGATGCAGCAAAAACACATATTTTTTTGTCTGAATAATACTCAGTCTTTTCCTCATACTGCCTGTAATGCAGCCCCTCTTTTCACCCTCTGTCTGAAACCAGAGCCCAGTCTGCTCTGATTGGTTAGCTGGCCGGCTCTGTTGTGATTGGTCAACTGCTTAGAGATGTCCCGCTCCTTAGCCTATCATGTACAACAGGGGTCGGCAACAGGCGGACCGCGGTCCGGATCCGGACCCAGACGCCGACCTATACGGACCCGGACCTATAATCAATACATTAATAGGGGATTTCAATTTTGACGGGGCGATTCTATTTTAACCGCTGCCGACAGGGGGCGAAAGAGACGAGTGAGCGATACAGGGAGAGAAACACAGAAGAAGAGACGAGAGAGCGGCAGATAGAAGAGGAGAGGAAAGTGAGTGAAGAGAATAATTAGCGATACAGGGAGAGAAGACGGAGAGGAGAGTGAACAGGCGTGTTAGCGGCAGACAGGGAGAGACAAATAATTACACATGGCGCTCTCCACGAAGAGGAAAGTGGACAGTGAGAACAGAGTGGACGGACTCATTCATGTTCATCCTGCCCACTGGGAGCACAGAACCAGTGTGTCTCATTTGTTCAGAGACCGTGGCGCTCATTAAAAGTGCCAAAACGCCACTACGAGACAAAACACAAAGTGTTTGACCAAACATTCCCTCTCAAGTCAGAACTGAGGTCACAAAAAATAAATATCGTTCCAGCGCAGGCTAACCGAGGCTAACCAATGAGCACCTGCATGTGTGTATGAGAATGGCCCTGACACCATTTCTGCCCAGATTTAAACTCCTGGCAGGACAAACTCAAGCTCAATTCTCGCACTGAATTAAACAAAGTGAGTGAGGGACTGCAATATAAGAGGGAAAGAAAGAGAAACTTTAAAACTGTTCAATTGTTATGATGTGTAAAGACTGATATTGTTCTATAATCGTCTGAAACTGTTAAGTCATGATGTGAAACGGTTAACAAAGCTATTTTATTTATTTTCTCTATTTTATTTTTAAATGCAGCCAGAGAGGAACATTACACATATCCACAGTATTTTACTGTACATAGTTCAATGTTAATTGACAATAAATATTGTTGTTTATTAATTGTACTTTCTTTATTTGATTGGCAGTCAGTTGTTGATTACATGCAGACGTTGATACAGCTGCAGGCTACTTCAATATATCACACTAATTCATAAAGCAACTTAGACATTTTGAAGTTCCGGACCTTTGCATGGGGAGATTTTCTCTAACTGGACCTCGTTGAATTTTAGTTGAATACCCCTGATGTACAATGTGTTGGAGCGCTAGCCAATAGGAGCGTGATTTTTACATATAGCGATGTTACTATGTTATGTTAAAGAAAGGAGTCCAATGGAAGCGTTTTAGGACATTTGTGAATTAAGCCACCACTACAGGAAAGGGGACCCCAAAAAGCAGAATAGGGTCTCTTTAAATCTGAGTACTTCCTCCAGCTCTCTTCTTCTTCTCCTGCAGTAATGTTTGGCGTTTCCTCCTCATGGCCGATGATAAAGGCCACAGCTGGCTGCAGATAAACAGACTGAAGCGCTCTGTATTTAATTAGCAGTTTGAGGAGACTAATCAGGGAGCTACACACTGTGAATGCAGACACGTTTCTGCCAACCCTCTCTAATTGGATGCTTGTGAAGATGCGGCTCAGACGGTTAACAGTCCCTGGAAAGGCGATATCGAGCTTCGCCAATTAAAGACTTTGTGATTTTTACAGCTGCGGCTCTCCTGAAAGCGTTTAATAACCCTGGAGCTGTACAGTATGCTGCTGTACATGCTGCTGTACATGCAAAGAAGCCCTCAGTATTTGGTCTCCAGGGAAAGTAAATAAAAGGTCTTTGTGGGAGTTCATGTCAGCCACTGAAAACTAAGAGAGGGAAACAAAAGCAGAGTTACAAAAGGTTGAAATAAAGGGGGGAGGAGGGAAAGTCAAAAATACCATTAGAAGGTGAAATGTGCTGTGAAGGAATGCAGAAAGATTCAACATTTAGTTTAACCTCTGATGCATTTCACACTGTGGCTGCGAGGGAGTGTGTGTCTTTCAATCAGAAGGTTGTTGGTTCGATCCCAGCCCGTGCAGTCAACATGTCGATGTGTCCTTGGGCAAGATACTGAACCCTGAGGTGCTCCCCATGGCCAACGGGGTGTGTGTGTGTGTGTGTGTGTGTGTGTGTGTGTGTGTGTGTGTGTGTGTGTGTGTGTGTGTGTGTGTGTGTGTGTGTGTGTGTGTGTGTGTGTGTGTGTGTGTGTGTGTGTGTGTGTGTGTGTGTGTGTGTGTGTGTGTGTGTGTGTGTGTGTGTGTGTGTGTGTGTGTGTGTGTGTGTTAGCTTCCCTAGGGCAAGTTGTACTGCTCTGCATGAATGAGGTGTGAATTGTTGAATGACTCGTAGTATGTAAAGAGCTTTGAGGGGTCGAAGAGAACTGATAAAACGCTATATAAGTACAGACCATTTACCATAAAGATTTGATCCTTATTTTAAACATTAGCCTATTTTTCTGCCTGTAATGTAAAATACTGTATGCTAAATGTCTTGCAATGTTTGCTATACCTTAACAGTTTGATGCAATTGAAGTCAGACGCTATTTTTTAAACCAAAAACCCTTTACAGTCTGTCATGTGACCGAACATGATGATGGACATTACATGACATGACACATGTTAGACGCTTTTACCCAAAGTGACTTTCATACACTCAGTACTGTTAATCCCCACAGGAGCAATTTGGGGTGAGGTGTCAAGAGGCTATTTTATATCTGTAGACCCAGGACAGGTGTTTCCAAATCACCCTTAACAAATAAATGTTTTAATACATATAACAAAATTAAAAGTTAGATAAAATCATTGAAAACAATCAACAATTGGCTTACAATTCTTGAAATGCCAATTCAAACTATTAATGTTTATACATTTAAAAAAACATGCATAATACATAACAGGGTACTGACAGGTTACAGAGGACAATATTGTTTTTGTGCTAACCCTTTTTGTATGAATGAATTCACCATCCCAGAGACTTGAAGGTCCTGAACTTCCCTTATTATCTCTTTTGCACCGCTGTCGCTATTGTGCATATGATCAATTAAAGTCTTTGAATCCTTTGAAAATGTGAGATCAAACAGTGCACCCAAGTGGCCGAGAGCCTCACAACACAAAGTCTGTCCAAGCTTCCATTATTCTGAGCACTTTAAGGATGTTTTAAAAAGTTGTTAAAGTTGAGATTTTTGGAAACAGCTAGTTAAGAATAAGTCAAACCATGTGATGTAGTTGAAAGCTCTGCAACTAGAAATGTACTAGAAGTTAACAGCAACCCAAAAACAATACCGTATTCAATTTTACATGAACATAATTGGACATGAATAAAGTTAACTTCATTATATATATAAAATAATAATTTATATGACATCATTTTTGTTCAATTTCTTGTCTTAAATATAATGTATGTTGCAAGAGCCTGGGACTTTATTGCCAAACTATGATGTAGCCAGAGGTGGAAGTACTCAGATCTTGTACTTGTGTAAAAGTAGAAGTAATCAGATCTTGTACATTAGTGAAAGTAGAAGTAATCAGATCTTGTACATTAGTGAAAGTAGAAGTACTCAGATCTTGTACTTTAGTGAAAGTAGAAGTACTCAGATATAAGCAAAATGAGGCTCCTGTTTTAAGGAATGAGCTGCCAACAAAATAAATGAAACCCTATGGAGAGCTGTGATGAAGGCTGTTTTGTTTCTTAAAGCATTTTCAAGTAACAAGCATAATTGACCTACATTTGATTGAGTTTGCTGACCTGTAACTGAATTTATGAGGTCTCTAGTGACTGGCCCAGCCCTTCGTATATTTTTCTGTATGTGGCCCTCGGTGAAAAAAGTTTGGACACCCCTGCTGTAGCTTATGTGCATATCATATGACAATAATAGTTTTGAATTTAATTGATTCCCCTCCAGCTCCAGCCTGCTGCTGTCTCTTTAAAGATGACGCAGAGCTGGGTGTTGCGCAGCGGCAGAGAGAGAGAGAGGCAGGTCGGTGCACTTACACCGGGGAAAGGCTGCTTCTCTTCGGCCTCAACATGGAGTTTCTACTGGGGAATCCCTTCAGCACGCCGGTGGGTCAGCGGATAGGTGAGTTATTTTAAATACCGCCATAATTCATTCACATTTTAGGCTTAAAAAACACCCAAATCCTGCAGGCTTTGTCACCTTCACCGGATGCATCCCGCTGAGGACACGTAGGCTTCTTCTCCTCTTATAATTAGTCATTAACATGTTTTAAATACACCTGATAAAACGTGTTTTTATGAATTTAAGGTGCATTTATTACCCAAGTAGTGTAGCAACGGGTTTCTGTTTGATTGTCGCGACCGCTAACCAATGATGTGTAAGGGGGCGGGGCTTAGGTGAGGTGAGGCGCGATTTGATTGGTTGTTATTCTGTCTGTTTAAAGTGGGCCATATCCTCCTGACCTAAATTAGATGCACGTCCAACTGTAGCTTAATGACTGCATGTGTGTGTGATAAGAGATTATGGAAATTGAGAGTTAGTCATTTGAATGAATAGATGGGCAGATTTAATCATGGTAGAGATCCTGTTATTACTCGTAATCTGTACATTTCTACATAAATATAACACAATATCTACACATCAGGAAACGCACTGTACTGTAGCAATTACAAGTGTAATGCTGAGGAGAAATGATTACTGTGTTGTGATAAATATGTACCAAGCGTTTCGTATCACAAATATATAAAATCTACAAAATAGGTCAAACTGTTTGGCTGAAATGTGAGTTTTTCTTCTCAAACTATAGCTAGTACACTGTATTTTGCACATGTTTCATTATATATATATATAAGAAAAAAACAGCAGTCATACACTTATTAAACACAATATATGTGTCATTTTTCTAATTACTTACTTTTATTATTTATAAAAAAGTCGGCTTTTTTCATGGGATCTAAATATTTAAACGTACGACCAATTAGAACCAATATTTTGACACATTGAGCATAAATAGGTACATAATAATAAAGGAAGTGGTTTGATTTATTTATGATTCAACTGTAATTACTACACTATTCATTTTAGTACAGTTTAATATTTTAAACATTGTATTTTCCTCTATTTTTCACAGAGAGTGCGACCAACTCCAGCCTGCCGTCAGACGACTGGACCCTCAACATGGAGATCTGTGATGCCATCAACAGCGCAGAGGAAGGGTGTGTGTGTGTGTGTGTCTGTGTGTCATCTGTGTGTGTCATCTGTATGTGTGTCTGTGTCTGTCGTCTGTATGTCTGTCTGTCTGTCTGTCTGTCTGTCTGTCTGTCTGTCTGTCTGTCTGTCTGTCTGTCTGTCATCTATGTCCGTTTGTGTGTCTGTGTGTCATCTGTGTGTCATCTGTGTTTGTGTGTCGTCTGTCATCTGTGTGTTTTTGTGTGTGTGTGTGTGTGTGTGTCGTCTTTGTCTGTGTGTGTGTGTGTGTGTTTCATGCCTCTGACTGTTGAACATGTTTCTGATTGACAGACCTAAGGACGCCGTCAGAGCCTTAAAGAAAAGGATTATGGGAAACAAGAACTTCAAGGAGGTCATGCTGACGCTCACGGTGAGTGCGAAATACTTAAAATACTCTACAAGTAATTCATAGTGTTAAATGGGTAGAAGTACAAAAGATTAATCAGCTAAATGTATGTAAGGTTGAAATAAAAAAAGTACTCAAAGTATGCATAATCAGAATCAGAATACGTTTTCCCAAAGTTCTGAAAATACAAAGATATAATTAGATGAAATAAAATAGAAAAACATATGTAAATATACACAAGACAAAATAAAAACCAGACTATTGAAATATACAATATATATTACAGTATGTGTTTTTAGTATTAGTTTAATACTTGCACAGGTTATACAGCCTATATAATGGTTATATTCACACGATTGTTTTATTAAATAAAATTACGCTAGCTGTTTTTCTTTCTAACGAATACATGAAAGAGCCTTTTTACATTATATCATTGGCATATTATTGGTTTTTATAAGTAAAAAGTAGATATTAATGTATGTAGTGGAGTAAAAGGTAGGATATTTGCCCCTGAAATGTAGTGGTTTAAAAGTGTAAAGCAGCGTAAAATGGAAAAACACAAGTAAAGTACAAGTATGTCAATATAGTACTTAAGTATGGTACTTGAGTTAATGTTCTCAGGGTCCCGCAATTCAATAAAGTCGGAGTGAAGCATCCTTTGTGCTCCAGTCAATCCTCACAGTAAACACAGAGCTGAATCCAGATCAAATGCACGCTGAAGGCTCTTTGAGCATGTTTTCTCTCACTGATCGTGCCGTTATGTTAAATGTTTGTTGTTTGTTTTTCGTGTATTGTGTCTTGATATCTGTCTATATTGATGTTGCACATGGAGCTGCTGTGATGCAAGTCACATTTCAGACTTGATCGTATCGTATCGTATCGTTTGAGTTGTAAAATATAACTTGTTCTGCGCGTCAGGTCCTGGAGACGTGTGTGAAGAACTGCGGCTACAGGTTCCACATCCTGGTGACGACCAGGGATTTTGTGGAGGGCGTGTTGGTGCGAGCGATCATCCCGAGGAACAACCCTCCGTTAGTCGTCCACGACCGCGTGCTCAGCATCGTGCAGGTAGGAGGAAATGCTGCACAACACGTTAGGCAACACTGAGGCAACATGGGAAAATAATCAGGGTTATTGTTTTGTAATGAGTCTTGGTGCGGTCAGGTTGCTCGACTGTAATTACCTCACCCTCTGTGACTCATAATTATTAAATAGTGTTAATACTGCGCTACACATAGCTTTATTAATACTAATAAATGTATGTATTTTTACATATTCATTGTTGTTATATATTGTAGTACAATGTGCACATTTTTACTTCTATGTTTATATGAACATTTGTATTTTATTAGATTTTTTTTTCACATTTTTCTATTATCTGTTTATTGTGTATTTTTGCTTTAACTTCACATTTTTATATACATATATTTTTCCCTATTGTATTTAATTTCATATTGTTATTGCACATCTTTATTTTAAATTCTTATGTTTACATAAATATTTTAATTTTATTGCATATTTTTACTTTTAACTCTTATTTTTATAATAATACTTGTATTTAATTTGTTATATATTTTTATTTTACTTTACCTTGTTATGCTTGGATAAATAAAGTATTCAGATTATGGTCCTATCCCTACAGGAGTGATAACTTTGTTTGACTCATGTGGAAAAAGCACACTCATGCTAGCTTTTTGCTAGCATGAGTGTGACAGTTTGCTAGTTGGCTAGTGTTGGCTTGCTAATTCCACCCAGCTTTAAAACAACACAGGTTGCAGATCATTGCTCAGCATCGTACATGTAAAAAGAAATGCCACCTAACGTGTTTGGCAACCCTGCGGCACCCTGTAAAAACACATCAGGGTTGTTGTATTGTAATGAGTCTTGGTGTGGTCACGTTTGTTTATTCTCTGATAATATCTGTGGTTTCCTCCTCCAGGCGTGGGCGGATGCGTTTCGCAGCTCTCCAGACCTGACGGGCGTGGTGTCGGTGTACGAGGACCTGCGCAGGAAGGGGCTGGAGTTCCCCATGACGGAGCTGGACGGGTACTCGCCTGAACAAGATCCCAAAAAGGTACAAGCATGCCTGGTGCTGATATCTGGGTCGCTGCCTGTCATCTGCGGTCGTTTTTCTTTCGGGTCTTTTTGTTTCAGTGCCTTCGACTTTTCCTGTGAAAGGACCATTGGGATCACATTTTTGTAGCTTTTGCAAATCTATGAAAGTTACAATCTTAAAGGTGGGGTAGGTAAGTTTGAGAAACCAGCTCGAGATCGCTAGAATTTGAAAATACACAACCGGAGAAAATCTGCCACTTCCTTATAGAGCCCCTCCTCCAACACACACGAACGCGCACATGACCAATGAGGGCACGAGATAAATTTGTGCACAGGCCCGGCTAAAATAATTGGTCGTACTTTTTACAGCACTACGGCTTCCACAGATGACATGTTTTTATGGATTTTTTGTCAAAGCACTTCAGATATTCATTGCTATCGGGATATTAAGAGCATTCCATGGAATATAACAAAAAGTGTATCTCGAGCCGTTTCTCAAACTTACCTACCCCACCTTTAAGTTACAATACAGAATTACCGTTTGGTGAATGATTTGATTAAGACATTTTAGTTTAAGACAGTTGCATGCAACATCTCAAACTGATTCATTGGGTTAAAAAAAACAAGCAAAATTACATTATCAATAAATTCTAAAGACCCAAGACCATTTTTTGGTGTTCCAAGCCCTACAAAAAGGTATAAGCATGTCTGGTGCTGATATCTGGGTAGCTACCCGTCACCTTTGGTCGTTTTTCTTTCGGGTATTTTAGTTTCAGTGCCTTTGTTTGGCAGACTGTGCCTGTCAAGGGACAATTTGGACCACTTTTTTGTAGCTTTTGCAGATCTATGAAATACTATATCATACTGCACTCATCGCATTGTTACTAACGTTGAGTAAAAGTTTAAATGTGCACAGAGTAACATGGTCACAATAGAGATCTTCATGGTATTGTGCAATTATTGAGATGTTTAATGTATAGGATGGAGGAGAAAGTTTGAGGCAAAGTAGTGCTGTCAGTGAGCTAAAGTTACAATACAGAATTACCTGTGGTCACTAGCTCAGAGACGTTTTGGTGAAGGATTTGATTAAAGGCTATTTAGTTTGAGACAGTTACATCCAACATCTCAAAAAAAAAACAAGAAACATTTAGTTATCAATATATTCTAAAGACCCAAGACAATCTTTTTGTGTTAAAGGGAAAATATTATTTTCCAAAGTTAAAAAACGTAGACTCTTAATGTCCAGGAATGAAAGGCCAAATTGGACAGAGGGAAAAAAAGCTCACACTTCTTGATAAATATTTGGAGAGTAAACTTTATTTTAACTTGTTCCAAATGTTACTAGCACTGACACAACTAATGTGGCAAGAAATAAAGGAAAAATCAACTTGACCGTGACAAAAATGTGTTGTTGTGGGTGCTACAAATCCTGTGAAAATTAGCCAAATAAACTGCAGATTTAATCTATAATCTCGAGCAACTGCACGTCACTAAGTGTGAACCATGACCATCCAAGCCCTAAAAAAAAAGGTATAAGCATGGCTGGTGCTGATATTTGGCTTGCTGTGCATGTGGAGGGATCTTTGGGAGCACTAGAACAATCCAGTGTGGAAATAGCTAAATCTCACTGGTCACCGGTTTGAGCTTCAATCTCAGGATCCATGTATTTGTGATCCTCTCCAGAATGGAAGTAGTCATCACATACAGAGCATCAACTAGTTCCTGAACAGTGTCCTTCACATGCTGATATCCAAGAGAGGGAGTTACACAGTCACAAGATGGAGGAATAGAAAGCAGTATTCAATGTTTACTTCAGATTAGCTCCATGTCAGAAATGAGCATGCTTGTCATGTGTCTATCTCCATAGAGGCTGAATCATCATGTTAATCACATAGCTATCATATGCCTCAAACAGTCCTGATGCTCTTCTAGGTAATCATACATCCTGTCATGTACACAGCTACACTTGGGATACCTTTGTTATCATGTGGACTCTCATATTGGAAGGGTACATTCAGAATTTTCCCAACAGTAAACATAAGAAATTCAAGTAAAAATCAGTTAGTTAGTGTGAACATAACCATCCAAGCCCTAAAAGAAGGTCCAGGTATGTCTGGTGCTGATATTTGGGTTGCTTTCTGTCCTCTTTGGTGATTTTTCCTTGGGGTTTCTTTGTGTTTCTGTGCTTTAGACTGCTCCTGTGAACGGTGCTGCTGTCACTACGCTCCTCTCTTCCAAACCTCCGCTCATCTCTCCTCAGTGCTCCGAGCTAAAGCTGGCCCTCGAGAGCAACAATGCTCTGACTCCCAGCCAGGTGACGCTCCTCCTGCATCCGAAACACTGCTTTCAGCTTTTAAACTGCACTCTGTTTTCCTATCAATAACTGGTCTTTTTGCCATGTTTGGTTAAATGTGGTTGCATGACTACGGCTGCACAATTAATCAAAATGTTATCACAGTATGGACTCGTGCATTATTCAAAACAAAGGAAGCACAGTATTTGTTGAATGCTAAATATTAGTTTAGGTTTTAGTTACTTTATTTGGGAAATGTTTTTTTAACAGCAGCATATTTACAAGGCATTGCATAAGAGTAACACATATAAGAAAATGGAAGATAAAATATACAAATCTACGGAGTATCTATACTATAGAATACATCATATTAAATACATAGAATAAGTGATATATGTATGTGCTATAAAATACTATTTTGAGCTGCAGAGATCTCCTTCTGTGGTATAGATCCTCTTAAAAGAATCCCACTATGATCATTTTTATATATCTTTTAAGCATAGTACGAATAATTATGCAAAACTGATCAAACGTGCATATATTGTAATCGAAATATGATTTTAAATAATCATACTTTTCCCAATTGTGGAGCCCTATTCACATTTCCTGTCAGACACTTATCAAATATCAATATTTGCTCTTAAAATGAAATACTTGTTATTGATTGTGCAGATCAAGCAGCTGAAGGTGGAGCTGGGAGTGGTGCATACCAACCTGACCATGATGTCAGATATGATGAGTCAGATGGATCCTGTCACTGTGAAGCAAGCAGACATGGAGCTCCTGGAGGTAAAAAAACATGACCAAAAAAGGACTATTCACGTGAAGTATGCTATGCAACACATTCCTGTTAGTCATGTTGAGCTACATGACTTAACACCTAAAATAGTTAGTTAAAAATAATGATTGAACAGCTGAATTAGGTAAAGCTAAAGGTATGCTAATACAGTTGAAAAAGCTAGCTCAAAGTATTGAATTATCTGTTGAAATAGTTAGCTAAGTAGGCTAATGAATAAACGGTTGAATAAGTTAGCTAAGAAGGCTCATGAATAAACATTTGAAATATTTAGCTAAGTAGGCTAATGAATAAACAGTTGTAATAAGTTAGCTAAGTAGGCTAAGGAATAAACAGTTGACATAGTTAGCTAATGGCTAAGGAATAAACAGCTAAGTAGGCTAATGATTAAACAGTTGACATAGCTAGCTAATGGCTAAGGAATAAACAGCTAAGTAGGCTAATGATTAAACAGTTGACATAGCTAGCTAATGGCTAAGGAATAAACAGTTGTAATAAGTTAGCTAAGTAGGCTAAGGAATAAACAGTTGACATAGTTAGCTAATGGCTAAGGAATAAACAGCTAAGTAGGCTAATGATTAAACAGTTGACATAGCTAGCTAATGGCTAAGGAATAAACAGCTAAGTAGGCTAATGATTAAACAGTTGACATAGTTAGCTAATGGCTAAGGAATAAACAGCTAAGTAGACTAATGCTTAGAGTAGACAGTTGACATAGTTAGCTAAAAGTTACGAATGTATAGTTAAAATAGTTAGCTTAAAGTAATGAAAAAACTGTTAAAATAGGTAGCTAGAGGTTATGATTTAACAGTGGAAATGCTAAGCTAATGTACTATTAACAGATGATATAATAGCTAGCTAAAAATAATGGATTAATGGTTGACACAGTTAGATAAAAGTAGAAATAGTTAGACATTAAAAGTGAAAATGCTAAGCTAAATGTAATCAATGAACACTTAAATAACTAGCTAAAGTAATTATCTAACAAATGAAATAATTAACTAAATACCTATATTTTATTATATAAAAGGGATTAAATACCTTTTTGACAAGTTAGCTAAAAGTAATGAGCAAATACTTTAATAGTAGCTCAAAGTAAGGCATACATTATTAGAACAAGCAAGTAAAGGCGTTAATGAATATCTTGAATGAAAGTCATATTTGAATAGTAGATAAAAGCAAAGGATAAATAGTTTAAACTTTGAGCTTCTGCTACTTCTTGTGGGATGTTATCTGTATGCTTGCAAACTAAACTCTGTCAATTCATTATATGAGCAAATTATTGTAATAATACTAACTTCTTTATATTTATCAATGTGAAGTATGTTATGCCAGATACTAATTTCCTTCCAGTGATGTTGAGCGACAGAGAGTGCCTTACCCTTAACTGATCTCGTACTTTATGCATTTTGTGAACCATCGGCCCCTCAAACCCCTGCCCACACATTGTTTGTCTGGTTGTGTCATTAGCAGTTATATACAGTGTGTAAGGAAATGCAGGACAGGATTGTGAAGGTGGTACCGCGGCTCAGCGAGGAAAAGCTGATCGAAGAACTGCTGGCAGCCAACGACGAGATGAACACCGCCTTCACCCGCTACCAGAGGTTCAATACCTTCAAGTACTATGTTATTTGTATAGAAAACAAGAGGGTTTTAAAGGTCACCTATTATGCAAAATCCACTTTTATACATAAACATGTGTCCCCTCTGTGTAAAGAGACTCTGAAAGTTTCAGGAAAAAAGATTCGCTCTCTTTTTGTCCTGATCCATTTATATAAAAACCTGTCTGAAAATGAGCTGATCAGATTTTGGCCACCTTATGATGTCATAAGGTTTTTTTGTCTTGTGTAACCATTAGCCAATCACCAACCAAGGTAACCCCCCCCCCCCCCCCCCCACCTTATCACTTGAATCTCTTCCTAGAGCACCATTGTGTTCTTTTTAGAGAATCAGCACTTTTGAAACAGGGCTGAAACAGAGGGGATTATGGGATGCTGCAATGATCTGTTTGGTGTTTCAGCCAATCAGAGACAGGTTCTGTATATATCTGAGACCTATAATATATTGATGAAAAACAGTATAATAGGGGACCTTTAATATTTCAACAGGTTGTATTTTGCCATTTGCAGCAGTGGATGAAGGTTTTTGACTCAAGTTAAAGTTGCAGTACTAAATAAAAAATACTCTGTTACAAGTAAAAGTCATTCAAAATCTTACTTAAGTATAAGTAAAAAAGCATTGGGAACTAAATCTACTTAAAGTACCAAAAATAAAAGTACTTGTTAAGCGTAATAGCCCATTTCCAAATCATATATATTAAATGACTGGATTATGATTATTAATGCATTAACATGTTCATTACAGTTGGTAAATATGAAGCTTATTTTAATTACTTAACATACAATTATATGTCAGTCTATTTGTTTATGGTTCATATGTCTGTGTTAGCTATTAGTCTGAATCTGTAAAGTAACTAAAGCTGTCAGTTAAAAGTAATGGAGTAAAAAGTACAAAAATTGTTTCAAAATGTCGTGGAATAATTTCTTTCTGGTGTTTACAGGTTTGAGAGACGAATACCAAATGGACACAACACAGCAGAGAAGGTAAAGAACATGGCAGTAATATTTGAGTTGGATGTTATTTGTATTTACAGCTCAATACTCTTAGTTTTTAGAACAAATTTGCATCATGGACTTTCACTTTTTGTCCCTCAGAGTCACACATACGTCAACCTCACATCAGACTTCGATTTGACGCCTGAGTCCGGCGTTGCATCCGTTACAAACGACAGCTCGTTCAGCCTCTCAAAAGCCGACAGTGTGTCCAGTCAGATGGCGAGACTCAGTAAGTATTCCTGTATTAATACACACATGTTTAGAGTATGTATATGTTCTTCTTGTTCTATGCTCTGGTTACTTATTGCTGTTCTTCTTTGCAGGTACAAGTGAATCAGATGACGCATTATCTCCGAGAATAAATGCCTCAACCCAACAAAGACCGAGGTACAGAAACACTGTTGACAATTTCAAGAGTTAACACAAGTTGCAAGGATTTTACTTTGGGGGTTTATTTATACAGTGATTCCTAGGTTATTTGAAAAGAACATGAAAACTAGTTCCCTAGCAGGCAGTCAAGAACAAATTGCTAGCTATAAGTAAGGAGTAAAAGGTCAAAGTAGCTAGCTAAAAGTAATGCATTTACAGTTTAATTAACTGGCTAAAAATAAGGAAAAAACTGTTAAATTAGCAAGCAAAAAGTAATTAAAAACAGTTGAAATAACTAGCTCAAAGTAATGGATTAAAGTGTTTAAATTGGAAGCTAAACATACATTTTGACAAATTAGCTCAAAGTAATTAATACATATTTAAATACTAGATAAACGTTCTAATGAATGGTTTGTACTTTGAGCTTTGCCACTCCCAGTGGTTTGTTATCTGTATGAATGCAAACTTAACCAAACCAAACTAAACACTGTCATTTCATAATATGAAAAAGTATTATTAAAACATCATGTTTTTAAGATTCATAGCTTTGAATAACATAAAACCCTAGTGGTTTTTCGTGGTGTTGATTAAAGTTCAACTGTGGGGATACATCAGTTGGGAATCACTGAACTAAAGGGAAGGTTTTTTAATAACAAATCAAATTCTCCTAATTTTTACTATGACGATGTTTACAATCATGCAGCTCGTTCTTGTGCAAATTCTCAAGAATGGGATTAACAAAGTTGTTGTCGTTTTAATTTGTTTAATTCCAGCTCATTCCCTCTTAATTCCTTGTAGAGATAGGAGCCAGTGTTTCTCATTAGCCTACTTGGCAGTCAGCTAATGTACAAATCTCCTGTTTCAGTGATCAGAGTGAAGTGGACGGCAGAATAAACAGCGCTGCAGCGGTAAGAAGAGACTCTTAGTTTCACCTTTCACACTTTAACAGGTTTAGTCACAAGAATTATCCTCTGACATGGTGACGTTTTCTCCTGCATGTGAAGAGATCTTTGGGAGCACAAGAAAAATCCAGTGTGGAAATTGATGATTTAGCTTAACAAACTTTGATCAAATTGTGTGTGCAAGAGAGTAAAAAGAGTAAAAAGATAGCATGTTCATGTTATTATACACACTTTTTGACCTGTATTTTTTTATGAATCAAAACCAGAATACTATATTTATCCCAGGAACAAATTGGGTTTCATGACAGTTGCTCCATTTTACAATAACATTTAATAAAAACATGAATTAGAGTACAAATATGTATGTAAACATAAGAAATGATAGATAGATGGATAGATAGATAGATAGATAGATACTTTATTAATCCTAAATTGGGAAATTCTTTAAATTATAGTAAAAATGTGCAATAAAAAGATACAATGAATTAGATTTTACATTGTACGATAACACATAACAGTAAATATGTAAAAATGTGTATTTTACAATATATACAATTGTGTATTAGTATGATTGAAGATAAGTTTTAGTTACAGTACAGTTTCACCTAAGGCTGGTTGAACAAAAAGGTTTTCTGATAAGGATTTCCCTTTAGTCATTTACTTGTTCATGGTTAAGGAAATCAAATTAGACGGTTGCTAAAAATATCTCAATCTGATTCCCAAGGTAACAAGAAAAAGCTGTTAACAGCAGTACATATTATTCACAGTTGCCAAAGTGATGGTTCTCTGACTTTCTGTAGCGTTTAATGGAAGTTTCTATTTGGAAATGTTGGCTCATAATGCAGAAACATGCAGAAAAAGAGGCCACATTGGACTGAGGAAGAAAAGCTAACAGGACTGTATATGTGTCATGGCAGAAAGTTTACAGAAGTGAATTTGATGTAACACAATTTAACTGTTTAGAAATTACGGGGGAAAATCAACTGGAGAAATCTCTGTTAAAAGATTAAGATGCCGATCTAAACAATATGGCAACCTAACAACAGTGGCAAGAAAAGTGTTGTTGTGGAATTATACAAATCCTGTGCAAATTGGTTAAACAAATAAATAAACAAAATGCGGGTTAATTCTATGATCTCCAGCAGCTGCTAGTCAGCCAGTGTGAACAGGAAGAAACTGCTTTGTTCTCCTGGATAAATGAAAGTAAGACAAGTTTATTCATACAGCACCTTTCAACACAAGGCAATTCAAAGTGCTTCACAAAAATGAAAGACATTAAAAGCAATAAGAAACATATTATAAAATGGCATTTAAAAACACTAATTTAAACTAAGCTTGTTTCTTTTCAAGTTGTTCCTAGGAATGATTGTGCAAAATCTGACTTTAAGGAATTACGTAAAACACAAAATGAGGAAGAAACCGTATAAAAATATTCTAAGAACATGACTTTTTTTGCTGGAATTTTGCGCAACTCATATTTTTTCGAAGTAAACCTGTGGATAAATCAAATGCCTGATGCAGCACTGGCCTATAAATGGCCCCTGGGTTGAGTCAATGTGTGTGTGGCTCTGTCAGTAACTTCTTTCCTCCTAAATGAACTCTATGTCTGATCGTAAAGGAGGACAGCCCGGCCTCCAGCAGCTCCTCTCCAAAGTTAGATTGGATGATTAAAAGGGGAATGGTGCGTCTGTGTTTCAAAATGTGTCATTGATTCACCTTTCCACACCTTCCTCTGTGTCTCAGTTTGGTCGTGAGGTTTTAATTTACTTTTGCTGTGGTCTGGATTGCTTTTATTTGGGTCATTTTATTTTAAGTTTGGTTGTTCTTGTATAGAGTGGTGCAGGAATGAGTCCAAAAACCGGAGAATCACTTAGCATTATAGCATCAGGGCTTACTTGTCTAGAAGTCAATGGTTTTATTGAATGTAATTTATAGCCTTACGTTAGCTTTTTTTCATAAAACCTAGCTAAACTAACAAGCTAAGCTAATGGTTGCTAATGGTCACCATTAAGACATTTATTAGTCTCTAAGTACCCTCAGTTTTTAAGACATGTTCTAACTTCATTATTTAGCCGAACATTAGCCTCCTTTAGCTTAGCGGTTGTGACGTGAAGTCATGTGACTGTGCTGTAGTTCCTTTATAGCCCAACATTAGCCACCTTTAGCTTAGCGGTTGTGACGTGAAGTCATGTGACCGTGCTGTAGTTCCTTTATAGCCCAACATTAGCCACCTTTAGCTTAGCGGTGGTGACGTGAAGTCATGTGACCGTGCTGTAGTTCCTTTATAGCCCAACATTAGCCACCTTTAGCTTAGCGGTGGTGACGTGAAGTCATGTGACCGTGCTGTAGTTCCTTTATAGCCCAACATTAGCCACCTTTAGCTTAGCGGTGGTGACGTGAAGTCATGTGACCGTGCTGTAGTTCCTTTATAGCCCAACATTAGCTTCCTTTAGCTTAGCGGTGGTGACGTGAAGTCATGTGACCGTGCTGTAGTTCCTTTATAGCCCAACATTAGCCACCTTTAGCTTAGCGGTGGTGACGTGAAGTCATGTGACCGTGCTGTAGTTCCTTTATAGCCCAACATTAGCCACCTTTAGCTTAGCGGTGGTGACGTGAAGTCATGTGACCGTGCTGTAGTTCCTTTATAGCCCAACATTAGCTTCCTTTAGCTTAGCGGTGGTGACGTGAAGTCATGTGACCGTGCTGTAGTTCCTTTATAGCCCAACATTACCTTTTTACTTCAGAAATCATAAAGTGGTGTTAATATGTGGAGATTATCCTGCTGAACTAAACATGTAAGTATCATAAACATTTGAGATTATTTTCTGTGTGAATCCAAAATCACATGGAGAAATCTCATTGAACCAGAGAGATGCTGCCTTCAGGGTCCAACACAGAAATGTGACCGTGACGTAGTTCCGTTATAGCCCAACATTAGCCGCCTTTAGTTTAGCAGTGGTGACGTGAAGTCATGTGACCGTGTGATCTAGTTGTAGTAGAGATTATTTTCTGCATTGTACCAAAATCAAAACAAAACAAAAGCCCTTGTGATGCTAAAATCTGGGTCGGATTACAAAAATACGTCATCCCTGCACCGCTCTATAGAGATAAAACCCAATGGACTGCATGTTCTCAGAGCCGACGCCCAACACTCAGCATGACAGTGTTAGGGTTGCCTGATGGGCTACATCATACCTATGCTTTGCTTCCCAACATGTGGTTATTCCTTTGTTGTTAAGTTTGATTTTTGGTTGTTTTGTAGTATTTTTCATTAAGTTAAAGCAGTCGTTCATATGTTTCTGCTCTGACCTTTCTAACGCTCTGCTCTCTTTCTTAGATACCCATCAACCAGAACACCGTGATGGATGATATTGAGAAATGGCTAGATTTGGAGGATGAGGTAAATCTACAAAATCTACAACTGTTTAATTCTTGATTCACATAAAGAGCATTCCTGTTCATTTCAACACTTACTTTTCTTTCAGATAGATTGTATAATATATTTCCTAAAACAGACATAACAAGATAAACAGCAGTAGAGGAAAGGCAAGGACAATGTTATCTCACAAAAAGGAGAAGTGAATTAGCCACGTTAGCTCTTTACTTCTGGAGATTGCCTTTACCCTTCAACAATTATAACAGCGGTGTAAATATGTGGAGATTATCCTGCTGAACAAACGCGTAGGTGTTAATTTATTTCATGCGTGTGTTTCTATTTAACACGTATTGTAACCATAGGAACACATGCATGCACATGGTGTTGCATCAGTACATAAATATACTCTTATTTATGTATCTATATATTACTCCTAATGGATTCTATATACAAGACTCAAGATTCTGACCCTGTGTGCCAGTATTGAAGCCTAAAGTGGATAATATAGGTCCAATAATGTTTGGTTTTAATCACAAATAGAGGCGGCCATGATGATTAGAGTCAAGTATGACCTCATTTTATCCCATAACAATCACCTCCCCTATGCAGATAATTCAACACTTGATTAAAATGGACTGAAAGGTCTCCGTACTGCCTCATGTGTTCTGATTATCTTAATTATTTTACTGTTACTTCACAAGTTGTATATGTATTAAAAGCAACGTATGTATTTTCTGTTTGTGACACAGTACGATGACTACGAGGATTCAGACGGAGTGACCAGTGAAGGTAAGGCTCTTTTTATTTGACGATAGACACATTTTTAGACATTTATCATTAGAAAAGCTCAAGAGAAGCTTTAATAGAAGACACATTTGACCCATAGGTGGCACTCGGGACTTAAATGGACATGTGGTGCCACCTATGGGTGCCACACATACTACCTCTCCAGAAACATTTGTAACATCTACTTTATAAAGACTGCTGCTATATTAAACATTTTTATCTAAGATCAGGGTGACCGCGGGGTCTTAAAAAGTATTAAAAGTTGATAAATCAATTTAGCGAAAATTAAGACTATTAAAAAGTATTAAAGGGCATTTTCCAAGGTATTACATTTTGTAGCTTGTTTTCAATAAGTATATAAATTGTCCAAAGAGGTTGTATTCTACAGTCTGCCTGAATGTAATCATTGCGTAGGTGTGTAGTGTGATTCTGTGTAGTTTATTTATGGCATCCCGTTGGATTTGACGTCATCTGAACAGGACATCGCACGCTCACTGCTTGATAGCGCGCGAAGGTCCGTTTACGCCGGTTGTTAAACAACATCGTTATGGGGAAATGCAAGTCTGCGTCCAAATGGTTGGAAGATAAGGAGGAAGGACAATCAATACTGTATATAGTAAATGTGAGGTAAAGTGTGTCGCCAATATAACCGGTTAAAACTCCAAGTGGCGATGAGGTCTTAAAATGTATGGAAAGGGTCTTAAAAAAGGTCTTAAAAGGGATTACATTTGACTTCAGGATTCCTGCATATACCCTGAAGATGACAAAACTGACTTGGTTACTAATCAGTTTAGGATTAGTTTGATCCTAAGGTTTTTTTATAACTATGTAAAGCATCTTTGAGCTCCTTTAAAAGTACTTGATACATAATATATGTATTCATATTATTATTTTGTGTTATTAAAATATCTGCTTACTGCTCCAAATCAGTCATTACCAAACGTTTGCAGTGACCCATTCAAATTACATTATTCTCCTCATGTATTTATGTTGACATCATTATGCATTATTTAGGTTTAAACTTTACTATTTTATTATCCTGTTTTTAAATTCAGCATATGTGATTTCTCCTGAAATGTTATCCCATCTCATCAATACAATCTATAATCTATAATAAGTCATTACTAGCTGCTACTTCACTAGTTTTTTATATATACTTATTTACTGATTTTTTATTTATTTACCATGGGTTCTTACTTATTTGATTTTCTTTAATGAACTTGTGCTTGCCTCTTAATTGAATATGTTTCAATCAGGAGAGACTTATTCCGTGAGTTTGATAGCATATTTATTGCCCGAGGGGTAATATACATTTTGGAGATTAGACCCCATCATACTGTGATGGATTTAGGGGGGAGGAGAAGCCGACTAGGAAAAGAGAAACCCCCCCCGGGGTCTAGACACTGGTGGTGGTGAAGTGCTGAAGGGGAATTCAGGTCCTTCATGATGAGGGTTCTTCTGGGCTAGCCTGGCCCTGGATCTGATGACTGGAGGTGGAGGAGGTGAAGGAGGTGAAGGTGGTGAAGGTGGAGGTCGAGGTGGGTTGCATCGATTCTCTGAAGGATGCTGGCGAGGGAGAAAAATATCAGATTTAAACGTTTGCCGGGTGTGCTGTGATTGCTGTGGGCAGTGGCGGCGCCAGGGTATGGCTGGGGTAGGCTACAGCCATACCAAGAAATGGCTTAGCCCCACCTTAGCCCCACCATGAAAAATGATGTTAAAGTAAGCATGTTGAGAACACGGATTGCGAAAATATACGGGTCGTGTCCACAACACACAAACTGATCCTGCTGTAACAACAAGTGCACATTACTGCTTATGCTAGAAGAGGGGTGCAAGGAATAGTCTAAGTAGTGGGGGAGCTTTATACACTAAAGGTGTGGAAATTCTCTGGCGTTATAATATCAGCACGGCCGCGGTCAGATCAAAATGCCTCCAAATGCAATTTGAATAGACCTACAGCCAATCAGAGCAACGAAACGTTGGGTCTGCGTCATGCCTTACTGATTGAGATCAATCGGAACCGCCATTCAGTATCCCCATTGGATCTTCAACGTGTCCTATCATACGTCACGTTCACAGTGATCCCTTTTTATTTACTACAAGACAAATGTGCCGTTTTATTTCATAAAGTTCCATTTGGATTGAGACAGGGAAATAATCTAAACCTCACGCGTGGCGTTTCACTGTCAAGGGGGGCGATATAGCGTGTATGTAATTACATTGCAAATACAGACTTGAGCCCCAGCACTGTATGGGTTAGCCCTACCATAGATTACCCAACAGAAATACTCTGGCGCCGCCACTGGCTGTGGGGGATGAGACGGGACTGATTGGTTTAGCTGGGGTTTGACGCGCCCTTGCTTATTGAAGGACGAGTGAGTGCGAGATAATTGTGAATGAGAGCGTGGGAAACAGTCTTCCTGAAAGAACTTGCGCTGAGCTTCATTAGTCTTATAATAATAATAATACATCTAATTTATATAGCGCTTTTCTAGGTACTCAAACTCACTTTACAGAAAAAACATTTCACACAACAAACACTTATTTATTTTGTTAACATATTTGATTTGCTTTTATGAACGTTTACTTGCCTCTTTATTTAATATGTTTGTCTAGTAATAATACATTTAATTAATATAGCGCTTTTTTAGGTATTTAAAGTCACTTTACAAACAAAAATCACACAAGAAACAAAGATGAAATGAGGAAAATGTAAAATAAATATGACAACAATATGGAACAGAAAGCATTATGAACTTCCCACCTACTCGTTTATTTGACCTTTGTATCTACACTGTCCCTTTACTCTAACAGTTTATAAATCCCCGCTGTAGGAAGAATATTTACATACATACATTTCATTTGTATAGCACACTTTAAAAACATCTCAAGGTGCTTCACAATTCAATGAGAGTAGAGTTAAAAAGGATCTATGAAACATTGAAAAAAAGCAAAAATGTTGCAAAAGCATTTCTGATTTCTGATCTCACCCTGCTTCTCTCTCTCTTCAGAATTTGATAAGTTTCTGGCGGGACGAGCAGAAGCAGCTGAGCGTCTGCCGTCGGTGCGAGCTTCCTCTCAGGATAACAACACCTCCGAGTCTTAACTACACTTCAGAGAAACTAATAACACTCATGAAGCTCCAGCTGCTGGGAGAGGGCATTACAACCCATATCTGAAGGACGCACAGCTGTGTATAATACTGCTCTGTACGGTGGAGCAAACATGTTTTTTTAACCGATAAAAGGTAACGTTATTTGATGAAGGGCGGAGGTTTTACTTGACGTCGTAATGAGGGTTTGTCCATGTGTGGGATGCGAACATTTGCACATTTTATATGGTTACATTCCTGCTGTTTAAAAAACAAAAGAGATAATATTGTTACAGACTTTTGCAACATAGATGATGTATTATATTGCTGTTAAATAAATATATATATGTATATGTCATGGTGATGGTTGCAGAAAACGCCCCTGTCCAAGTAGCACACTGTTAGCTCGTCTGTCAGAGAGGATGTGATATTACATAAGGAAGGAGTTTGATGGAGGATGTTAGAGAATGATGTTTTTTTTTTTACATCCAGCATCCCCCTGTGAATATGTCTTACTTGAAGTTCAACAGGAAGTCATGGCACACTGCTGTCATATATTAAACTGAAATATTAACTGGAAGACTGGCTGTTTTTATTCTAACATCAAGTCATTAATGTGCATTAACTGTATAATCCTATTTATAGCTTTGCAGGTATGGGGCCAAATATTTGTATCTGTAAAAATACAAATACAAAAATAGTGCAAGAAGTCTATATACACATAGATAGGTTTTTTTTTAATTGTATTTCTCTTACTGTGTTTATGAATGCACCGCCATCCAACAAAGCAAATACATTCCTTGTATGTGTATGTATATATAAATATATATAACAATGCAGTAGAATTTAAAAACTATAAATGAATATGTAGGTTAAGGGCAACAGAGGGTAACAGGGTCAGGGTCAAGCCACCTCGCAAGTGTCCTGTTCTCTGATTGGTCCGCCGCACCTACGCCTCCCTCTGTTACGTGACGTAACCCCGCCCCCTCTTTCTATCTTCTTTACGTTCTGCCTTCCTGCACGTTTCTCTTCTGACAACTGGCACACACCGATCCTCCGTTATGTCTCTCGGTAAAGTTGCCCGGGGTTTGGTGCTTCCTGCCCGGGTCGCCATGCGGCCCGCGGCCCCAGTTCTCCACCGGAGCTACGCCGCTGTTTCTGAAGCCAGAGCCGTGCTGGAGAGCGAGCTGGAGGGGATCCGAGCCGCAGGAACGTGGAAAGCGGAGAGAATAATCACTTCAAAGCAGGGACCGCAGATCAACGTGGAGGGCAGCAGCAGCAGTGAGTGGGCTCTTCATGTTATTCATTACTTTGTTGCAAGGCAATCTGATTGTCCTTGAACGCACCATTTGGTATATCTAGAATAGATGATAGTTGACATGTTAGTGCAACTAGTGACAAAAATCCACGAGTCAACATGTTTGGTTGTTTGGTTGAGCCCCACTAGTTAACTACTACGTCAAAACAGACCCTAACTAGTCCCATTTTTGCATTGACTAGTTGGCAACAATAGACTCTGTATAAAGGATAGCACAAATGTGTGTGAGACTAGTTGACAAGTAAGTTCAATATGAGGCCAACTAGTGTAACTAATGGAAATGTAAGTTGGAAGTCTATTTTGACCTTACTAGTTACCAGGTAAGCATCCTAGGGGTTGTTTATTAGTGTGCATAACGTAAATCAAGCAGGTGGGATAGAGAGAGATTCCTGAGTCCTGATTGGTTGGTATTTTGTGTTTTGAGCTGGAGAGCTAGTTCCCACACTTCCACCTACTGATTAGCATTTAATGCACCTACATGTAGTGTAACCAGTGGCGACTGGTCATTAGGGGCAGGTGGGGCACAGCCCCACCTAGTGTCAGCAGAAAGTATTACAAATAATGATTACAAAAATGCAAAAAAATAAATAAAAAAATATATAAAATATATTTTAAGATCATGTTTAATCATCTGATTCGTCTGTACATTGCTGTTTTAGTCTGTGTTCTTCTAATTAGTGTGTCTACAGTCACAGTGTGTGCCTATTGAGCTGTTTAGAGCCATGTGGGACAAAACCTGATTATGCCCCTTCCTCTCGCTGTGAAGTCAACGGTGACTGTAAAAAACTACACTGCGCATGCTCAGAGTATTTTGTAATGAAATGTGTGTGGCAAAAAAATAATGACCAGAGGGGCATGGAGCTACCATCCCCACCATACGTCATCTCAAATCATTCAGAGCTGATTGGCTGTAAGTACGTGTGCCGCGAAAAGTGTGCTGTGTGAAGAGGAGACGAGAGAGCTGCAGTGACGCGTCCTAAAACCAGGAAGTAAGCACAAAAAAGCAATGAGATTTCTCCAGAGGATTTTAGAAAATAGCTCGAAATAAGATCTGTGGGAAACGTACCTGTTAGATAAATGCACGTTTTGATTAGCCGGATAACATCCACATGTCTACCCTACTTATATAATTTTTTTATCATAAATCTATGGATTAGATTTATGATAGACTTTTGAAACTACAAGAACATAAGGAGGACTTTTACAAAAAAGTAATAGAAATGTTTGTCCAGAAGGATAGGCAAATGGACTTCATCTTCAAGTCAAGGTAAGACTGCCATTTTATTGAAAATGGGATCTTACTAAGAGAGAACAATTCAATATTTAAATGATAAAATGACATTTTTTGGGTATCCTTTTGTTGAACTGTCTGTTTAAAATTAATCGAAGCATCAGACAAAAAAAGCTTTTGAAAATAATATTATATTTTGGTTTAGGTCAAAATATAATATTTGTAAACCTGAAGAGCCAGTGCCAGTGCCTCACCAGCCATGAACCTCACTGCACGTCACTGCAGAAGCTTATATATAGACATCTAAGTTTTTTGTGCCCCACCACTTTTGTACATATAAAAACGCCACTGAGTGTAACTAGTGAGGATTTTTGAATTTCACTAGTCCAAATGATATACATTTTGAGCCTCAATAGTTAACTAGTGTCGGCTTAAACTAGTGCAACATTTTTGCCTTAACTTGTTTAAAAAAGTGATAACAATTATTCAAAGTCAACTATTAAACTCCAAAGACACCACTACTTGTTAACTAGTGAGTATTTTGGCTTAGACTAGTAAGTTATCTAGTGAGGCTCGTTAAATATGTACTGTTTGACCTGGTGAATCCCTAAATGCTCACTAGATACATTCAATTAAATGCTTCAATGCTTCATTTACTAGTGAAGTCTAAATACACCCAAGGTAACTAGTGAGGTTTGTTTGTTTTTCTAGTTAACTAGTATGGGTCAAAATGTCCCTTTGTTGCACTAGTTGGGCTTATTTTGCCATAACTTGTTAACTATTCTGACAAAAAGGCCACTAGTTGCTCAAAAAGGCTGACTAGTAGAAGAAAGATGCCAAACTAGTGCAGAGAAAGAGCCGTCTGAATTCATGGATATAGAAAAACAACTCAAATGACTTGACCGTTTACTAGTCGTTGTTTTCCAGTGTTTCTGTTCCTCCCACTTTGTTATCTAGGTGTTGAACTTGACTTATGTTGACTTAATAACTGGAGGCATTCAAGGACATCCAAAGTAAGCTGAAAACACTTATTTTATTTTATTAAATTGGCCAATAGACTTGAGGTCGTGGCCTCTTGTGTGAAACTAACTCCCTTTTCTAATGCAACGTTTCTTCCTCTATGTTTTCTTGGTATTGAATCTGACTCATGTTGACTCAAACTAGTTAAAGTAACTGAAGGCATTTAAGGTTACCGAAGGACACACAAGCAAGAATTGTCTTTTAAATGGCTTAAAACATGAACGATAATCAATTTAAACTTGACTTTTATCGCAAAATGAAACGTAATGTGAATTGGAAAGCTACGTCCACTGCAGCTAAGCTCTGTTTTGTGTTTTGTATCGCCTTTGTTCACACTTTAGTTTGTACCTTTGCCAAAATTTGACTGCTGATTCATGAATGGCCCATTGACTCGAGGACATGGCCCCTCATGTGTGAAACTGACTCAGTAAAATCCCTCTGGATGGATGCGTTGTTATTCTTTCACCCTTTGTTCTGACGGGTTAGCTTTTTTAGCTCTGTTAGCGCCCAAGAAAAAAAACACAACTTATAACGCAGGGTTTAAGTTGCTTATAGTGGTAATTGTTGTACAGATTTAAATTGTCTTGTCCTTTTCTCCCTTAATGTTCACCTCTTTCTCTTCCAGCCATATTGAATTTCTGTGCCAACAACTACCTTGGGCTATCCAGTCATCCCGAGGTCGTTCAGGCGGGGATCGATGCTCTGAATACTCACGGAGCTGGACTGAGTTCAGTCAGGTTCATCTGTGGCACACAGGTATGATGGCTGCTAATAATACATGGATAACAGCATATACAAAGCTGTATTGCAGCTACATCTAATGAAGGGTATTCACTTTGCTCTTTTTTATAGGATCTACACAAGAATCTGGAGCAGAAGCTAGCTGAGTTCCACGAGAGGGAGGACTGCATCCTGTATGCTAGCTGCTTTGATGCTAACGCTGGACTCTTTGAGGTATTTAGTCTCTACTTGAGAGGGTTTCTCCCAAAGAGTAGTGCAAGGATATCTTGAACCCTGAAGGCAGCATCTCCCTGTGTCAAACAAACGTTTATGGTTCTTACACGTTTAGTTCAGCAGGATAATCTCCACATATTAACACCACTTAATGATTTCTGAAGTAAAAAGCTAACGTTAGGCTATAAAGGAACTACAGCACGGTCACATGACTTCACGTCACCACCGCTAAGCTAAACGTGGCTTATGTTGGGCTATAAAGGAACTACAGCACGGTCACATGACTTCAGGTCACCACTGCTAAGCTAAACGTGGCTAATGTTGGGCTATAAAGGAACTACAGCACGGTCACATGACTTCACGTCACCACCGCTAAGCTAAAGGTGGCTAATGTTGGGCGTGATGACGTTTAGTCTCATTTAGACACTTGTTAGCAACCGCTGTGTTTAAATTCACCAGTGGGGTATTAACTGACGTATTTTATGTCGTAGAACCTAACGTAAAAATCTCTTCAGCTTGTGTTAGCCACCTATCCCTGTTACCCTCAGGTTCTGTTGGGCCCGGATGACGCGGTTCTGTCCGATGAGTTAAATCACGCCTCGATCATCGATGGGATCCGACTGTGCCGAGCGAAGAGGCTGCGCTACAAACACATGGACCTCAGAGACCTGGAGACAAAGCTCAAAGAGGCTCAGGTGTGTGAGAGAGCAGCTTCTACAGAAACCAGTACTGCACAACAACTCATATAGATTAGACATGTCAAGGGTCATGATGAATGTTGGGACACACAGTGTGTGATGGAGGTCACACAGGTCAATCTCGTATATCTATTTAAAGTCACAATGCATTAAACACACATTACTGAAGGGGTCAGATGGGGTCACAGCATTGATCTTCAGGACTCTGTTTCCTTCTCTACCTCTTCATGGTTTTTTCATGTATTGTGTCTTGAGATTTGTTAGAAAACTCTCACTGGTCACCGGCTTGAGCTTCAATGACTTTTTCTCAAATTTCTGATTTTTTTTTTTATACAAAATTCTGACTTTTTCTCAAAAACTGACTTTTTCTCAAAATTCTGACTTTTTCTCAAAATCTCAAAATTCTGACTTTTTCTGAATACTTAAAAATGTTAATAATCACTCGTCCCCGGCTTGAGCTTCAATCTCAGGATCCATGTATCTCTGATCCTCTCCAGAATGGAAGTAGTCATCACATACAGAGCATCAACTAGTTCCTGAACAGTGTCCTTCACATGCTGATATCCAAGAGAGGGAGTTACACAGTCACAAGATGGAGGAATAGAAAGCAGTATTCAATGTTTACTTCAGATTAGCTCCACGTCAGAAATGAGCATGCTTGTCATATGTCTATCTCCATAGAGGCTGAATCATCATGTTAATCACATAGCTATCATATGCCTAAAACAGTCCTGATGCTCTTCTAGGTAATCATACATCCTGTCATGTTCACAGCTACAGTTGGGATACCTTTGTTATCATGTTACTCTGATATTGGAAGAGGACATTCAGGATTTTCCCAACAATATTTGTCCATGTTGATTTTACAAATGGAGCTGCTGTGATGCAAGTAAAATTTCAGACTTGATCTGACCATTAAAGTATTATCGTATCCTCTTCAGTCGTCTCGTCTTCGCTTGGTTGTGACGGACGGCGTCTTCTCGATGGACGGAGACGTGGCTCCTCTCTCAGGAATCTGTGATCTGGCTGATCAGTACGGAGCCCTCGTGTTCATCGACGAGTGCCACGCTACCGGGTTCCTGGGGGCCCGCGGCAGGTGGGTCTCATCCAATCACTGCACATATCTTATTCCATTCTATTTCTATGTAAATACTGATATATTTTTACTATATTTTTTTTAACCTGTAAATATCTCAATTAAAATGAAAGCGGTGGGCCATTTTTAGAAAAGGTAGTTTTTGCAGAAAGTAGTAAGAAGTTTAAGAAGGAATATTTTCTGGCTGTTAATTAAACGCAGTTCCCACAACACTTTATCTAAGAGATATCTTAGTTGGACTCCATACAAGTATACACAGTATATCCTCATTATAAGTACAATAATATTCATTCATAAAATGTCATGAAAATATCGAGTTTGTGGCCACTTCATGCAGCTTCAGTTGATCTATACTATATTTGTTATTATTTTTATTATTTTTTAATGTTATTATAGTTTTCTTAAAATAGTTCTCTATCTGTGTTTTTAATTTTTAATTTAATTTTATGTGTGCACCACGACATCAAGTCAAATTCCTCGTACGTGTCAACCCACCTGGTGATCAACCTGATTCTGATTCTGATCACAATTTTTCTTAGAACATAAGTCATGCCCAGGGAAAATTAGTTGCTGTGTTTTGTTGATATTCAAAGGATTCATGGCTTTATTCTTCATTGTTGTCCCTTTTATTTGCCACTTTGTCTCCAGTGTATCAGAATCAGAATACCTTTATTCGTCCCACAGAGGGGACATGTACATTGTTACAGCAGAAAAGAGCCAAAGACAGATTAATTAATGTTACCTAAGAAGCATGCATAAAAAAGTATTAAAGGTGGGGTAGGTAAGTTTGAGAAACCGGCTCGAGATACACTTTTTGTTATATTCCATGGAATGCTCTTAACATCCCGATAGCAATGAATATCTGAAGTGCTTTGACAACAAATCCATTAAAAAATGTCATCTGTGGAAGCCGTGGTACTGTAAAAAGCACGACCAATCATTTGAGCCGGCCCGGCTAAAATAACTGGATGGCCTACCTGCCTGTCAGCCTTCCACCTGTGCACAAACTTATCTCGTGCCCTCATTGGTCATGTGCGCGTTCGTGTGTGTTGGAGGAGGGGCTCTGTAAGGAAGTGGCAGATTTTCTCCGGTTGTGTATTTTCAAATTCTAGCGATCTCGAGCCGGTTTCTCAAACTTACCTACCCCACCTTTAAGGATAACAAATTACACAATTTACAATCCTGTAACAGTTTAGCAGCCAGGTATATATTGCACAGTTATTAACAGCATATATATATATTGCACATATTGCACATATTGCACATAGTTGTTATTTAACAACAAGGGGTGTTATAGTCTGTGTTGTTGTGTAGTGTTGGCAAACCTTAAATCTCAGGCTCCTCCAACAGTGCAATATACAATATACTTGGGACATAAAAAAAGACATACATTAATGAAATAGATATACTGGTAATGCTCGTGAGTTGCAGAAAAAACAGACTTATATGCATACGAGATATAATAGGATAAAATGAAATACTGCACAGTAGAATACACACTGTAATAATATATACATATGTAAATTATGTGGAATAACAGATAGACAGTGTATAATAAACATGATGTGATGGTAGGTGTCACTGAAAGCTCTGCAGTATCTCCCTGTCTCTGAGTGGATTAACTAATGATGTCCCTCCTGTGCTGCAGAGGAACAGACGAGCTGCTGGGCGTGATGGACAGAGTTCACATTGTAAACTCCACTCTGGGGAAAGCTCTGGGAGGAGCAGCCGGTACGTTTCTGTGTGATCCGTCACTATGCTGATGACGATGACCTAAACTTTTATTTTCATGAACAATGTACGCTAGAGGGGGACCAGAACAGTTTTTAAGCTTCTTCTTGCCCCTTTTGAACATGACGGAAACTATTTGAGAAAAATAGTCTTACCCTGAATGTTTCTTTATTTTTTTTATTTTGCTTCTCTTTGTCATAATTATTATTGTTTGTTTTGTTTCTAACATGTTCAATAAATTCACTAATAAAAATAATAATAATGATAACACACAAAATGTGACGACAAATCTAGAAGTCTTATACTTATAAATATATAAATATAACTGATATATTCTCTCTCTCTCAGGGGGCTACACGGTGGGTCCCAAGCCGCTCATCGACCTCTTGAGGCAGCGCTCTCGGCCGTACCTGTTCTCCAACTCTCTGCCCCCCCCGGTGGTCGGCTGCGCCCTCCGGGCCGTGGAGCTGCTGCTGGCGTCCAATGAGATCTCTCGGAGCATGACGGCCAAAACCATGAGGTGCGCTTCATTCAGGGGGGGGCGGGGGGGTATGAAGCTCGCTACATCCACATTATTACTCGGCGTAGTACAGTACCATATAATACAATACGATAATACAGCGGTTCCCAACCTTTTTCAACTCAGGGCCCACTTAAGAATCTAAAAAATGTCGCAGGCCACATTCAACCATAAACAACACTGAGGCTAAATAAAGTTCTGATTGGTCAATTCAGAACATGTGACACGTTGTAAAGGACTATAATGACCGTTGCTAAGGAGGATCGAGAAAGAGAAAGGAAATTAAAAAAAATCTTAATAATGAAAATGTTTCCACACAAATCATAGTGTTTTGCTAATTATTTGGCGGCCCACTTGCAATGCCTTCAGGTTGGGAACCGCTGCAATAATACAAAGGGGCTTTATTGTTATGACAACATTTTAAACATAGTATTGCCAAAGCATTCATTCCGCACAAGGCGTTATAACAGAACAAAAACAAAAAGAGACACTAAACGTAAATGTCATACCCTCTGCAGTGTAATCAGATTAGCCTTTTGGATATTTTAGATATATTAATGTACATAGCATTGTAGAAACGGTAAGCAGACAGGAGGAGGAACTGTCTTTGTGTTTTTCTTGAACATAAAAAGGCAGGAATAGGAATAAAAAGGCAGCAGGGTTGTTTCTAGGTATATAAGGGAATAAATACATCCCCTATCTTTTGGTTCCCCTTGTTGAGTAACGGTACGTCTACACAGCAGCGTTAAAAAAATCTTGGAGGTGGGCGTATCTGAAGCTTGAGGATTTTTTGCGAGCAAGGCACGAACAACCAATCACATGAATCTCCCGCCCGCGACATACGAAGCAAAAAAGCCCGAAGTAAACTGGATATAAACTCCCCAAAACAGGCGAAAACATACCACTGTCTCTGCCACCTCCCTCCATGCCTGGCTCCTCCGGTTTATATCCCGGTAGGTCTGGTCATAAAGCACCGGGTGATTGATTCGCTACCGCTAATTTCTCCTCCATTTTTTGGAATATGAGGAAATGACCTGCGGTCTGTCTCTCCCAGCATACACGCGGTTTGATTGGCTAGAGCTTGAACTGTCAGATGTGCGTACACGGGATTTGATTGGCTGACGCTTCCTCCTCAGCTTCAAAAGTTGAACATTGTTCAACTTTGAATCCTGAAAATCCTGAAAATCTCCGCTCGCCTGCCCACAATGCAGTTCGGCGAAAAGTGAGGGAAAGTGACGTCACCCCATTCAAAGTGAATGGGCAGAAGCGTTTCAAGATTTTTTTTAACGCTGCTGTGTAGACGCACCGTAACACCCACACGCTGCCTTCAGGCCATATTATGTAACTATGAACTACATAGACAATGCATGCATACTGAATAATATATTGTCAGAATTATAAATAGACTTACGCCTCATCTTGAAGGACTTTGTGATTCAACCTGGACACAGTCTTGAAAAACTAGGGTTGAATCAAAAGTGTTTACACATTTAAAGCTTCTGTTTCTTGAATGAAGCTTCAAATGTCTGTTCTAAAAAAATCCTAATCAGATTGAATGATTTGGTATTTTTTTATTAAATCAACGGTGTGTTTCATAGTTGTTACTACTTGGTTTTTATGTCAGTTTCAGCAGCCTATACAAACATAATCTCACTACTGATTTCTTCCATTTCTTTAAGCTGAATCCACAGTTTATACAAAGAAATATTAAAATGTTTTCTCTGTAATATGTATTTCAGGTTCAGGAACAAGATGACGGAGGCGGGCTTCACCATCTCCGGCTCGGCTCACCCCATCTGTCCCGTGATGCTGGGCGACGCTCGGCTGGCGTCTCTGATGTCCGACGACATGCTGAAGCTAGGTGAGGAGGCAGGGAACCACTGAAGCTATTCGATTTTGAAATGCATTATACCTAAGACCTTCATTCAGCTTCACCCCACATTGTTTCCTGATATAAGATTGGTGACTGACATAAGAGACATTTAAATCAAAGGATGTTACTTACACTTGGGTATTCTACTCTTTTCTTGTACTTTTCTTGTATTTTATGTATTTGTACTGCTATGTTTGTAATTTTCATTTTCTTAATGTTTTATGTGAGGGACTGCGGATGGAAAGTAGCTCAAAGCTGAATCCGGCATATTTACACTTGGCATATTTCATGTTTTAAGTGTTCATTAATGTGCAATGTCCCTGCCAAATAAACAAATAAATAAAAAGTTTGCCGAAAGTTGAAATGTTAAGGATAAATTCTTAATGTCCAGATAAAAGTAAACAACTGTAAATCAAGTTTAAAATAGGAAGTGTAAAGTGGAAATATTATGACATCATAAAGTGGCCAAAATCTGATCAGCTCATTTTCAGACAGGTTTTTATAAAAATGGATCAGGACAAAAAGAGAGAGAATCTTTGTTCCTGAAACTTTCAGAGTCTCTTTACACAGAGGGGACACATGTTGATGAAGAAGAGACATGAAGAAGAGGGGACACATGTTGATGTAGAAGAGACATGAAGAAGAGGGGACACATGTTGATGTAGAAGAGACATGAAGAAGAGGGGACACATGTTGATGTAGAAGAGACATGAAGAAGAGGGGACACATGTTGATGTAGAAGAGACATGAAGAAGAGGGGACACGTGTTGATGTAGAAGAGACATGAAGAAGAGGGGACACATGTTGATGTAGAAGAGACATGAAGAAGAGGGGACACATGTTGATGTAGAAGAGACATGAAGAAGAGGGGACACATGTTGATGTAGAAGAGACATGAAGAAGAGGGGACACATGTTGATGTAGAAGAGACATGAAGAAGAGGGGACACATGTTGATGTAGAAGAGACATGAAGAAGAGGGGACACATGTTGATGTAGAAGAGACATGAGGAAGAGGGGACACATGTTGATGTAGAAAAGACATGAAGAAGAGGGGACACATGTTGATGTAGAAGAGACATGAAGAAGAGGGGACACATGTTGATGTAGAAGAGACATGAAGAAGAGGGGACACATGTTGATGTAGAAGAGACATGAAGAAGAGGGGACACATGTTGATGTAGAAGAGACATGAAGAAGAGGGGACACATGTTGATGTAGAAGAGACATGAAGAAGAGGGGACACATGTTGATGTAGAAGAGACATGAAGAAGTGGATAGGTGCCCTTTAAATACCCTGTGCCCCATTGCGCCATCCAGTGCTCACAATCAACAACCACAACACACAAATGGGCGCAACACAAATCAAAGAATAAAGAGAAATGGTAAAAGGTCAAATGTCCCAGTTTTCTAAACACTCCTTCTCTCCGCTCCACAGGGATTTACGTGATCGGATTCTCCTTCCCAGTCGTGCCAAAGGGCAAAGCAAGAATCCGTGTTCAGATCTCCGCCGCGCACACAGACCAAGACATCGACCAGTGTGTGGACGCCTTCATCCAGACGGGCAGGAAGCACGGAGTCGTGTCCTGAACAACACGGAAAAATTCAATCTGAATTACTGAACGAAGCGTTTGCTCTCAGATTGAGCTGCCTGTTACCCCCGACCTATGAATGATTGTGATGGGAGGAATGGTTACACCTGTAGGTCAACGGAGGATATTGTTATTCATGTGTTGCTTAGCTGGATAAAGCACATTTTGCTGTGTGTATGAGTTTGTATTTAAAATAAAGGGCTGTAAATGTTATATTTCCTACCAAAAAAGGAGATAAAAGGGAAGTATTTCTACTGAATCCTTGAATGTTTTGACAAAAGATGGATTTATTTAGGCTATTTATCCATCCGTTCTACAGGTTAAGAGGATAAAGTCACAATTGGGAATGCAAGTACTCGTATAACGTTGCCTTATTAACATTAACTCATCTTTCAAAACTAGCTAAAGGACTGTTACTTTGTGTATGTGATAGAGAAAGACTTTCAGAAGTGTTCTTGTTTAATTCTCAGCTGAAATGTGACGTCACCCAAAGGTCTTATTCTGTTTCAACTCATGAGAGCTGCTTTGCCTTTTATGTCTCAGGAGATGCAACCGCAGATTTCCACATTCTGGATAAAGAAAATGATATTAAAGTCTGCCTTTGCTCAAACATGTGTCTTTTATGTTAATACTTCTTTTAAGCGTCACTGTGCAGAATGAAGCATGTGCAGAGTTTGACCATTGAAAGCTATATTCACATTAATCAGTTTCTCTGCACACCTTAAATCTCAGTTTCTGATATGTATCTATGTGATTTGAGACAGCAGAACAAGTAAGAAAGCCAAAATGGCTGAATATGAAACCAGTGTGATGTGAAAACGTGTCCTTCTTTTTGTATATGTTTCAGTGTCTTATATGTCTGTAGGGCAAACTATTAATATAGTTATCTTAAATTATAGTCTGACTGATCATATGTAAATATAAGCCCACCATCTGTCATTTTACCACAAAAAAGTCCCTCAAAGTTAGATTTTGCTGAATCTAATCCCATTTTAAAATCAGATTACTCTTCAATCCTGTCAAGAAAATGAGCTACATCATAAAATAGGGTTATAATGATGGTAAAGATATTAATTGTTGTTCAAATGTGCAGTTTAATGTTGTTTTCATGCTTCTTCACCATCTGTCATTTCACACAAGAATAAACCAAGCCTCTAAAACTGACATAGTCGAATATTTTACTGAAACTAAATACATTTTTCTCTAGCTTCTTTATGAAACAGAGTTATTAAAGGTGGTACAAATATGTGTTGTTCAAAATGTGCAGTTTAATATTTAATATCATGCTTCTTTGTTTTGTGCCACATGTTTCTTCTTCCTCCTCCTCTTTCTTTTGTCTTTTTCGCGCCACCACTCCACACAAGCCCCGCCTCTAAATCATATAAACACGCTTCAACCAATAGCAACACTCAGTCAACACCCATCCAATCAGAATCCATCCAAGGGGCGGGGCTAAACCCAACTCGCGGGAAACTCAGACAGGAAGAAGTTGACTTTTTCCCGCGGAGCAGACGCTGAGCACCATTTTCTCTCTTGCAGTTTAAATCCTTCGTGGTTTTTTATTTAAATTACGGAAAACTAGCTTATTTTTTGAAGTTACTTATTGTGTTGTTTACCTATCTGCTTCACTATGTCTGGATTTGATGACCCCGGGGTTTATTACAGCGATAATTTCGGAGGGGGAGACGGGCATGGAGGCGATGAAGGAGGGCAGAAGAAGACCCAGCTGAAGAAACGGTTCCGAGAGTTCCTCCGCCAGTTCCGAGTGGGAACCGACAGAACCGGGTTCACCTATAAATACAGGTCAGTTCATCATCATTATATAGGTTATACTAGTGCAGGGGATGTGTGAAAAGAGCATCATGGCGACCCTAATAGACCCTCAACAAAAAGTGCAAAAAGTACTATAATTAAATAAACTTAGCAATCATCTAACTATGCAATAGTGATAAATAACACTTGATAAATACTGTATTACACAATGCACTTCAAGCAATAATCAGATGTGTATTAGTCTTATCTGTATTCATATTAATACAGTTATACTAGCAGAGGTAGACAAAGTACTTGGATCCTTTGCACAAGTACAAGTAGGAATACCCTAGTATAAAAATACTCAAATACAAGTAAAAGGACTTCAAAAATCAAACTTAGAAGTACACAGTATGCACATTTTTCTAAAATTAGGTGTTGTCACTAATAAATGCATACAAGAGTATTTCAACGTTGTCATTGGTCAATTTAGACACCAGTTTAGGTACTTGGTAGTATATTTATGCATCTTATCATATACCTAAATGTGTTTTTGTTTTGTAGAAAGTAACACATGATGCAGTATTATGCAACTTAACTACCTAGTGCTATATACAGTTTTTTAAAATAAGCTCCATTCAGTTTTTTACCTTCTGTTCTCTTGTTTTTGGGATATGGGAGCGTTAGATCTTCTTTACTGAATTGTTATTTGTCTGTGTTTTGTTCAGAGATGAGCTTCTGTTCTCTTGTCTTAGGGATAAGTGAGTGTTAGATCTTCACCACTAATGATGATTGTTTCCTGTGTTGTGTTCAGAGATGAGCTGAAGAGGCACTACACCCTGGGGGAGTTCTGGCTGGACGTGGAGATGGAGGATCTGGCCAGCTTCGATGAGGATCTGTCCGACTGTCTGTACAAAGTCCCCTCTGAGAACCTGCCCATGGTGAGTTAAAAAACTACATTCATACTTGTTAGAAAAATCTCACGGGTCCCCGGCTTGAGCTTCAATCTCAGGATCCATGTATTTCTGATCCTCTCCAGAATGGAAGTAGTCATCACATACAGAGCATCAACTAGTTCAGTCCTGATGCTCTTCTAGGTAATCATACATCCTGTCATGTACACAGCTACAGTTGGGATACCTTTGTTATCATGTTACTCTGATACTGGAAGAGAACATTCAGTATTTTCCCAACAATACTCCTACCTAAATTCATATTAATATATCTTATTATTACTTTGAGAGATCCCAGTTCACCTCCTGCGCTGTGCAATAGCTGCCCACTGCCCCTTAAATGCAGAGGAACAATTTCACACCTGATTCCTGTCCTCAAAGTGGTTGAATAGAATTCACAACATTCAGTCTCTGTTTCTGGTTCATTGGCAACAAAATGTAGAAATATAAGATAAGATAAAATGGAGCTTTATTAATCCCAGTCGGGAAATTCAGTAACCAGCAACAGGGTAAGAATGAAAAACAGGACAGCACAGATTCACACAGATTAATACAATTATAGATAAAATCAAAGATGCAAATAAAATAAACTATAAAATAAGAAATGAATTAAAATGAACACGTATATAATTAGTATAAAATAGATATTAAATGTCATGAAGATCTCTTAGTTTTTGGACATTTCCCCACAGCTTTAGTCAGCTTTATCTCTAATGTTTGTGTGTATTCCAGCTAGAGGAAGCAGCGAAGGAGGTGGCGGACGAGGTGACGCGCCCCCGGCCGGTGGGGGAGGAGACGGTGCAGGACGTCCAGGTGATGCTGCGGAGCGACGCTCACCACGCCTCCATCCGCGAACTCAAGGTACCTGAACGCCTCTCTAAGAGTCTCACATCCTCAGAGTACCTGAACGCCTAGTCATCATCGGCCATGTGATCAGTTTCTTCCCCTCTGCTACCACCCACTGACACTTTACCTCAGCCACATCTGAAGTGCATTAATGCTCACACAATGTACACAATATCTGTTTTATTTTTTTATTACTGCCCAATTTGATTCCATTCTATTTCTACATAAATACTGCTATTTTTGACTATATTTTTTATTATTTTAAATATTTTTTAATGTTATTATAGGTTTCTTAAAATAGTACTCTATCTGTGTTTTGAATTTTTGTTGTACTTTTAAGATGAGATAAGAAAGTACTTTATTGATCCCAATTTTGGAAATGTTTGTGTTGCAGCAACATAAAAGACATGGCATTGTACAATAAACAAGAAAGTAGAAAATATACATGTTGAATTTACAAATGAACAATAACAAAATATAAAGCAAGTTATTATATACACATTTTACGTATGCACCACGACATCAAGTCAAATTCCTCGTACGCGTCAACCCACCTGGTGATAAACCTGATTCTGATCACCTTCTCTCTTCCCTCCCTGTTCCCTCGTGCAGTCGGAGCAGGTGTCTCGCCTGGTGAAGGTGAGCGGGATCATCATCTCAGCGACTCCTGTGAGAGCGAAGGCCACCAAAGTGTGTCTGCAGTGCCGCGGCTGCCGCGCCGTCATCAGCAACATCCCGCTGCCGCCGGGCCTGCAGGGATACGCTCTGCCGCGCAAGTGCAACACGTGAGTGAGGAGGGTCGTCTCTGTTGTGAGGAAAGATCTCCTATCATGCTATCGTTAGGCATATATTATGGCTCTCAGATATATATATATATATATATAAAAAACATGTCTATGATGTGTGTTTGCTCAAACTATCAAACAGATCATGCATTTTACGGTCCTTTTGTACTCTCTTTAGAATATTTTATGAATTGTAAGGTGTCCCTGGGTGCTTTGAAAGGGGCTTCTAAATAGAATGAATTATTATTTTAGACATCCCTCATACCCCTCTATTGATATAGAATGGAATAAAATAAATACATACACACACACACACATACTACACACTCACACACGCACTCACACACACACTCTCACTCACACACAGACACATAGAGACACACTCACACACTCACTCTCACACACTCACTCTCACACTCACTCTCACACACGCACTCACACACACTCACTAACACACACTCACTCACTCACACACTCACTCTCACACACTCACTCTCACACTCACTCTCACACACACTCACTCACTCACTCTCACACACACTCACTATCACACACTCACTCACTCACTATCACACACTCACTCACACACTAACGACTTGACTCCCAATATTAATTTAAGTGATTTTATTGACTTGAAAAGGATCGTCTTGCCCCCGCTAAGAAGTAGTGTTTGTTGGGGAAATATTTTCCTGGGCCCATACCTTTGACCCAGTTTATCAGTTTGACCTCACTGAGCTCAGGCCTGTGACCTTGGGCTGCTCTCAGTGTTTAGTCTCCGTATTCCTGCCTGATAGAGGTGTTATAATGTTTTATCTTGTTATGCAGCATGTTGATTATTCTCTCAGAACTAGCTAAACACACGGGTGTGGGGAAGAGATCTTCAGAAACACAGCACATGTCGTGTGAATTCTCCGGCCGAAGCTCCAAATAAACCGTCAGTGTTTGCCATCAAAGCTCCAGCTCTCCTCGTGTCTCTCTGAGTCTCCATTGCTTCAGAAGGATTCAAGTCTTTTCTTGTCATGTGTACAGAGCTACAGTGTAGATATGTCAATGAAGATCTGAGCTCACAGGCTCCTCCCACAGAGCAACACAATAACACAGATACAATAGGGCAAGTAAATACAAATAAAATAGAACAGAAGTTTCCATCACAGTGCGGGGATGAGTCCTGGAAGAGGACCCTCTCTGTTGTGTTTAAGGGATGTCAGAGATACAGATGTTTGTGTCACATGTTAAATCTTCCCCTCTGTGTTTCCCCCCCCCCTCCCTCAGTG